ATAAGTTCTTTGATCGTAATGCCAACAGGATTGTCTTCCAAAGGGTTCCGTTTAATCGTTCAACTTGACCGTTTCCCCGAGGATTGTACGGGGTAGTCCTACTTGTAGCTATTCCTCGTGAATTTAGAAAATCTTTTACCTCCGAAGAAACGAATGAAGTCCCTCTATCTGAATGAAGATAAGACGGCATACCAAATAGCATAAATATGTCATTAAGACATTTGATTACTGTCTTAGAGCTCATGTCAGCGCATGGGAAGGCAAATGGGAAACGTGAATATTCATCGATAATAGTGAGTATATACTTATTCTTCGTATTAGAAGGAACTGGTCCTTTAAAATCAATACTTAATCTTTCAAATGGCGAGGTAGCTTTTACCAAACCAGGACCAGGCGTAGCAGACCTAAAATATTTAGGTTTTATTTCTGAACAGACGCGACATGAATTAGTCGTTTTCCTGATTTCTTCTACAGAAAAAGGCAAATTTTTCGATCTCACCCAATGTGTCATTCTCGAAACACCAGGATGGCATAATGCGTCATGTAAAGAAATGAGTTTATCAGAGCGAGTCTGCATATTAGCACAAACACGCGACAATGCATCTGCAACATCATTCTGCTTTCCTGGTCGGTACACAATATCATACTTGAATGGCGCTAATTCCAGACGCCAGCGCTGTATTTTCTCGTTTTTAATTTTACTTGATAGTTTATTATTAAACATGAAGGATACAGATCGTTGATCAGTAATAAGACGAAATGGTTTGCCAATGAGGAAATGACGCCATTTCTTTAACGATTCGACAATTGCATATGCCTCTTTTTCTATAGCAGCGTGGTTGTGTTCACTTTTATTTAGTGTTCTTGAGAAAAATGCAACCGGTCGGTTAGCCTGGGATAAGGTTGCCGCTATGGAATGATCCGAAGCATCTGTTTCGACAGTGAACTGCACGTTATGATCTATAGCGTTAATAGCTGATTTTGCAATATCAGATTTGAGCTCTTCAAAGCGTTGTACAAGTTCGTTCCCTAATGGAAAATTCTTTGTGTTTGATAAGGCGTGAACTTTTTCCGAAAATCTTGGTATCCATTTGCTATAGTGGGCAAACAAACCCATAACTCTTCGTAATGAAGGTAAATCATGGGGCGGCGGCATACTAATAAGTGGTCGAAGGCGGTCGGGATCCGGTCTGATTACATGATCCTTTATATGATAACCCAGGATATTAATTGCATTTTGAGAGAACTTACTTTTTTCTTTGTTAATAGTCAGCCCATATTTGGAAGCGGCTGCCATAAATTTCTCGAGATTCTTGTCATGCTCCTGTAAAGTTTTGCCGCAAATGGTTATATCATCCAAATAGACGTATGTTCCCTCCAATTCTTCCTCTCTAATGATCCAATCAAGAACTCCTTGAAAACTTGACACTCCATTAGTTACACCAAACGGAATTCGGCGAAATTGATAGAGGTTTCCGTGCGCTTCGAAAACAGTATATAGTCGTTCTTCGGATAAGATTGGGATCTGATGGTAAGCACTTTGCAGATCGATTGCACTAAATATAGAATAATTCGATATATTAGATACTAATTCTTCCATATTTGGAAGAGGATATGCGTCCAGCAGCGTATACCTATTTATTGTCTGTGAATAATCGATTACAAGACGGTTTTTATGAGTTGCATTCTTCGTAATTAAAACTTGAGCTCTCCAGGGAGAGGTGCTTTTTTCGATGATCCCTTCCATCAACAGTTTTCGTATTTCTTCTTTTATAAATTTCTTGTCATCTTCGCTATACCTTCGAGACTTTATAGCAATATTAGGTTTGCAATCAGAAGAAATATTTGAAAATAAGGGTACCGCAGGTACAGAAGCTGCCGCAACTCCACACACTTTGATAGGTTCTTTCGTTCCACCAAAATTTAATTCAAGAGAAGAATGCTTTTTAAGAATATCGTGACCTATAATTAAATCAGCGCACAAATCCTTCACTATCAGTAAATGTAAATTTTGATAATCGTACTGGCCGACTTTAGCAGATACCCAGGTTTCTCCTGCAACTTGTGATGTTAGAGAGGTTGAAGCCATTGAAATACATTGGTTACTAGGTTTCTTTTTAAGTCGTAACAAATTAAAATACGATTCATCTATGAAACTCAAACTACTACCTGTATCAATCAGTGCTTCAGCTCGGACTCCTTGAATATATGCTATTACAGTTGCTTTCTTTAAAGAGCTGGGAGAAGCTGCTACAATACCTATACATGCTGAAGTATTTTCTCCTCGTTCCAAAACTGCAGCATTATTTGGCTTATTACTGCGGCACACTATCGCGAAATGTCCCTTCTTATCACAAAGTTGACAGGATTGGTTGACAGCAGGACACTCCTTTCGGTGATGAATGCGTCCACTTCCGCAAAAGAAACATTTTCGTTTATTTTTGTAAGAGCTCTTGTAAGAGGGCCAAGCTGCGACGGTATGTTCCTCGCACTGATCTTCAGGCTGTGATACTCCTCCTCCAAGTTGTTGAACAGCGTTTAAGCCAATAACGTTGTATTGTTGGGAATTAATCTCTGCCATCTCTAAGGATAATGCTTGATTGTACGCTTCATCGAGGGTTAACGTCAGATTCTCGAGTAATCGCTGTCTTATCTTATTTGACTGGATTCCCGAAATAAATGCGTCACGTATATTGTCAGATCGATTAGTTTCGGCGTCCACGCTTTGAAACTGGCATTCTCTAGATAATAGTTTTAAGGCCTGTATGTATGCATCGATATTTTCCTCATTAAGTTGCTTTCTAGTAGCTAGCATGTGCCTAGTGTAGATAATATTCTTAGGTTTGATAAAAATCGTATTTAGTACGCTGATAGCAGCGTCATAAGTTGAACACTCACTGATATATGAGTATACCCTTGAAGACACATGATTGATTAGCAAATTCAACTTACTGGGTGCAAAAAGAAGCAAATCTTCTTCTTCGGTCGGTGTATATGCCAAGAGGAAGTTCTCAAAGGTTCGGAGCCAGTGCTCCCATTCCTTGGAGGCGGAACTAACTGATGGATCAATATCCAATCGAATGGGTTTCAGAAACTTTTCCATTATTTTATTTTGTTGAATAAATTGATATAGATAAAACCTTTAGAATAAACGGTTTTATTCAACAAAATTATTGGCAATGACAATATAGGAAATGACATTAAAATAACATTACAAACTAGATTAGAATGAGGCAATAAATAATGTGTTTCTATATTACCACATTGAGCATTATTGAAAGTAGAGCGGTGTAACTTTGCAACACTTTTCATAGTTCAAACCACGGTGTACCAACTATGTTAATGGAGAGCTTCACTTTGGAATGTTTGAATGCGGTCCTTAGTACATCCCTAGAGTTGTGTGCCATATAGCATAGCGTTCGCCGAGGGGGAAATCGTAGATGAAATTTTGTACTCCATACACCCCTTTGATATACTCACAGGACATCTTTGGACATCCTCTGGATATCAGCGGATCTTTATGGAAATTCTCCAATTTGTTGTTTGGTTTTTCTCATTTTATTTTCTGACTTTATAATAAACTGTCGTAGACAAACGGTGCTGATCCTTCCATTGGAATCATCCAACAGCCAACACTATGATGGCTTTCTAATTATGACACATTCATCTTTATGTAACTGAATGTTTACGTAGGTACGGGTCGCTTTCGATAATATATCCTGTAATTTTGGTAGAAAAGTTTAATTCCAAAGTCTCTTAATTTTGATTAACAAACTCATTCATATTAAATATAGCGTAATCGCCTTGGTCGTGGTCCGTTGCTGATAGATGTAAATGGCCTTCGTCTAATTCATCATCTATGGTTTCCTTCTCATCCCAATTTGGTGCTTTAATTCTGTCAATAGTCTGTCAATTCGATGAATTAAATCCTTACTATTGAAGTCTTCACAATTTTGTAGCAACTTAATGATCATGCGCACTTTTCGATGTAAGTACTTGTTAAACTGTTTCAAAGCAATTTCACAAAACAATTGCATTGTTTTAGAGGGTGCTTTTAACGGAAAATGATTTTGGAACCCATAGTTTTTTCCAAAATTAGAAGTTTTTCTCTATCTTCGAGCATATTGTTTGTCAAAAGCATCTTATTGCATGTATCACAATTAAATTTATCTAGATCTGTGTTGCCCAGTCCGGTTCACAGGTGGCAGTATCACCTGATTCCATTAATGCTGGTGTAATACATATATGAACATTGAACGGAAAGAATATTTAAATTCTCGTGCACTCAGATTTCTATTACAGCCTCCTTTTTGTTTCATTGCTGTTGTCAATGGTGTCCTGATTTAATCTACCAGTCATCACAAAATCTATTTCGTCTTGTTTTTCTTGACCACTATAACTTTTCAGTTCATTATACATTTGAATCATATCGTTAATAATAGTTTGAATAAGACCATCAAAGCAAGGTGGTCTGGACTTCTCATTCGATTTTAAATTTATTTTGGACAAATTGATAAATGTCTTCAAGTCTTTCTTCAATGCTTCACGTACAGCGACATTATTATTATCCATTACTTCAACACAATGGGCGGCTGTATAGATTGCTTTTGTTTTAATTGGTGTCTTAAGGGCGCTGGATACACTATCCCAAGTAGCACACATAATATATTTAATAGATATTGCATATATTGTTAAAAATGTATAAAGTATATATTTAATACATTCTGAGTAAACCTTTTTGTTCTATTAATATAATATTTTTCTCATATAAAAAAGATATTAAATAGATTCAAAAGACATTTAAAACATTTATTAAATAAGAAAAAAGTAAATATTATTTTATAATCAAATATAAACAAAATACATTTAAAATATTTACAAAATATGTACAAAATATTAAAAATATAGATATTAATTGCTTAAAAATATGAAATAAATACATACAAAATACTAATATTAATTGATAAAATATAACAACAAAATAAAAATAATACATGCATTCTCCTTATTCTAATTCAACGTCTTCTTTGCTAGGCTCCATTGTAATGCTTGACCTAACAACAAGAGAAAACTGTTTAGTTCTATAATCAAATATTCGGTTATTATTGTGTTTCACTTTCTACACTTAGCAAGAATCTTGATTAGGTTTACTGCTCATAAAATTACAATCTACCAATTTTTGCAACTATAACACAAGAGAGCAAACTTTCAAGTAAATCTTCTAAAAGTTTGGGTACAACAGTTTTGTTGATATGTATGTTGAATGAAAAGAAATTCTCACCACATTAAACCAAGAAGTTATAAAATACATAAAGTACTACAAGAATTTTAATATTTAAATTAAATATAATTACCTTTTTAAATATAAGGATCCTTGTTGTGCAAGAAAGGTGGACAACGTGGCTTCTATTTTTTTCTTTAAATTGTTTTCTTTTGGCCAAATAACTTTTACACACTCTGAAAAAGGAATGGCAATTAACACTTGATTGTCACTTTTAACAATGGTACGTTGTAAAAAATAAAAAAAAACTTACTGTATATGAGATCACACATGAGGAGCTTCCAAAAACATTCTTTGCTCTCCACTTGGTCCTTTCTTTGTTGACCCTTCCAGCTAAATTTTTGCGCCAAAGAATTGTCCATTAATCGCTGGAGGGTACTTCGGGCAGTCTTTGAGACATTCGTTTTTGCGTCGTTTTGCGACAAAATTTTTAGCTGTTTTAAAAAACATTAGTTGTTAGTTCTGTTGAATTTGTTTATGAAATGTCGCAATAATGATTAAATTAAATCCCCTGATAACTTGAGAACCGCGAAAGAAAAACAAACACAAGTTTTGTAATGAAGGGCGTTCAAAGTTTTCAGGTGGAGCAAATCCATCTGAGACTTCACGAATAACTACATTTAGTGGTTCCAGCATGTTCATGATCATACCTGGGGGGCTTATTAGCGTAACGTACCCATTAATTGTAATATATACATACAATATTTCCCAAAAATTCCTTTTCTTTGAGCTTCTCTTCAAAGACTCGTAAATCTTCTATCTTTTTTAGTGGTAATTGAAATACACATTCTTCCTCTTCTGTTTCCTCCAAATTTTGCTGGGTCTTGTCCTTATCTAAAACCTTACTTTCAATTTCCATACGGAATTCTTTCAGCCTGCCACTCAACTGTTGTACAGATTCTAAAAATAAAAAAATTAATTTTTATTGTATTCATTAGTTTTTAAGACTTACTCGATAAGTGGCAAACTCCAAGCGCCAATGTTTCCAGAGTCACTGGTTTATCCGATACACAAAAGTGTGATTTTTTTGAAATATCACACACTTTTATATGGTGCTGATGGTAATGCCCTTATTGATGTTGAGGGTGCTGTTGAGGTGGAGGGTCCCAAAGAATGAGGTGTCACTGAAGGGTAGGTAGATTGTATAAGTAGGTTTCTTTTAAAGCCTTGATTTCTAGGAGATTTCCTAGGTGAATTTCTTGCTATTTTGGTGGGTGGGCGGATATGACCTCTCAGTGCTCTCTGCTGACGATGATGATCGCCTCTTCGTGCGCAGAACTCTACGGCCAGCACCCCTTTCTTCCGTTTCAGAAGCACTGATCGATCGTGCACCTTTTTGAAATCTGATGACGTCCGTCATACCTCGTTCAAAAGATACTGAAATGTAATCAAACTTAATTTTACAAAGTTTGTGACAAATTTGCGGATATAAGGTATCAATTCGGTATTGTTTAGTACACGTTCATCCAAAGACAAACTGCCGGGCCATTATAAAAAAAATCTAACAGAACTGACCCCTTTAATTAGCAAGAGCATGAAATTATTTAAACATAGTACAAAAAAACATCACACACTTTAAGGCTGTAGTAGTATCAGTGTAAAAAATAATTGCACTTGAATCAAGATAATTAAAATATAAATTCGAAACTTCTGCCATAATCAGTTATAAAAAGGAAAGTAGCTAGATATCTACATCCATGAATATTATTTATAGAATGAGCATTATCTTCTAGTAGAACTCACCATAATGTTCCTTGACAATTGTAATTTTTATAGTCAACCAGTCATCTTCCGGGTGCCACGAATTAAGAGAAGTCGACAGGTGTCGTATTGTTGGTTTGGGCGGAGGTGGTTTTTCGTTCACAAAAATTGCAAGTTACCTTAACCGAAGCCAATCCACCATGATTCGCTGCAATCGGGCCTGGATTTGGGAAGGGGCAGGATCGTCGTAGAGAGGAAAGGGAGGGGGCAGGAAAGGGGGGGGGCGAAAAAGAACAATTGAAGTGTGGGATCGCCATCTGACTTATGGCAACAAGAGACCGATTCTCTAGTACCAGGTCAATTGCCGATTAATTGTTAGCTAACGAAGGTCGTCCTGTAACACTTCGAACGGTTTACCGCAGAATCAGAGCTTAAGACTTGCAATCCTATCGGCCACATCTTTTGTTACCATTAACACCTCAACACCGCCAGCAGCGTTTGGAGTGGTGTAGGTTGCGACTGCACTGGAACCTAGAGTGGCATTGAGTGGTGTTCAGTGATGAATCCCGATTTTGTTTGGGTATGCATGATGGCCGTATGAAGGGCATCCGAAGACGTGGGGAACGTCGCAATGTTGAATTGTCTGTTATGAGGCATGTGCACTATGGGGGACTATGGTATGGGGTACTATAACTTATGGGAGTAGGGCTCGTTTGTTATTCATTCAAGGTAATATGACTCCCCAGCGATATGTGGATAACGTGATAGAACCTGATATTCTTCCATTTCTTCACCAGTTGGAAGACGCACCTTTCCAGCAGAATAATGCCCATCCCCATATTGAAAGACGTTCTATGGACTTATTTGCACATGATAATGTCAATTTCTTGCCATAGCCACCCAGATCTCCCAGTATATTGCCTATCGAGCAAGCTTGGGACATTATGAAGAGAAGACTGATGAACTTACCGCATCCTCCGCAGACGCTGCAAGCTCTACACAATGAATTACAAGTTGCTTCAGTTGCTTGGGACACAATACCTCAAGAGGAAATCGGCAGTCTGCTAAAATCGATGCTACAAAGCGTGAGGGAGTGCGTAACCAATAGGGAGAGACTACTATTATTATTAATAAAAATATGTTTATATTTCATCCTTTTTCTTTTAAATTTTAATCAACTCCTTGGTGTTGCAATTTCCATGTCACTGAGTTATATTTTTTATTGAGTCCTGGACGCGTATTGCCAATGTATTGTACAGCACAGAGCGGTCCATTTTCTGCAGTGCTCAATGCTTTGGCGATGGTATACCCAATAGGTAGTCTGCTAATCCATCGTTCGCTACAGATCACACTATAATGACGGTGCTTAATGTATACAGTATTTTGTAGTGCATGCGAATGTATGTCTAAACTCAGTTTCGTTGTCGGCTCCAACCATATCTCTATCGTTCATTATGCATAATGTAAAACTTGTGTAGGAATTAAATCAAAAATATAGTGACCTAAGATTTTTTTTATTTTTATGATTTTAGTGTTTTAGTGAATTTGTAACTTGATTTATTCCAGTTTTATTTTTATTTCAGTACATCAAATAATTTTAAAAAAACTGCTCGGAAACGACAATATTTAATTTTAATTTGTTTCATTTTTATTTATTCTAAGCTACAAATTTACTCTTTTAAAAATAAAATCTAATGTAATTTGGCGTTCATTTTGTGAAATATTTAAACTAATATTATGTTTGCGTTTAACGCGCTCCTTATTGGAAGGTCTTCCAGCTTGCACTCTACCACTTGATGGTAAACCTCTAGATTTACGGCGGGATAATGATGTTGGCTGAACTTTAATTTTTCGTTGTTTTCTTCCGCAAAGACCAGACCTTGTTTCCATAAAACTAATTAGCTGACTGAGCCCGCTAATAGAATGGCGTCACCTCGGGTGATTCGGTACTGCAAAACATTGTGCATTTCAGAGTACTTAATGTCATTATAATGTGATCTGTAGCGAGCAATGGATTGGCAGACTACCTATTGCGTATACCATCGCCAAAGCATTGAGCACTGCAGAAAATGGACCGCTCTGTGCTGTGCAATACATTGGCAATACGCGTCCTGGACGAATGTTCATCACATGCATCCACTGTCATATTGTGGAGACATTGGGTACCTAATATATAACTTCCTTTTTTCTGGAACTGTTTCGGGTTATATCTCAAGAACAGATTGTTTATTTTATTTATTTATTTATTATATATACAATATATACAATTAGCGTGTAGAAGGGTGGAATGTGTTGACCCCCCTCCCTCAACATTTTCAAAAATTTCTGTTTTACTAAGCCAGCGTATGCAAAATCTGAGACCAATTGGTTATCGCATGCAAAAGTTATGTATAACTCTCGCCAGGAAAGATTGCCGGTCACAGCACACCTTGTGTCGATTTACAATCTATGTTTTTCTTAAGATGCGGGCGACTTCCGGAATAGGATCGTGCCAATGTTGAACGAAAAGTCTTTTTGTTCAACATTGACACGATACTACCCAGGAAGTCGCTCACACGTTTGGAAAAACATAGATTGTAGATCGGGATCAAGTGTTCTATGACCGGCAATCTTTCCTGGCGAGAGGTTTAAAGTAAGTTAAAAGTTTACTTTCAAAAACTGCATCTAAGGAAATAATTCATGCCCCCCTCCGGCAGGGAAATTTGATGCCTGTCTGGCACACCTTTAGGGTATGGGCAAAAAATTTCAGGACTCTAGGACCATTGCCACAAAAGTAGTTCAACACATATAAAAGTCTTCAAATGTTAATTATGTGCTTTCGTAACTAACACGTAACACTAAAAAATTACTCACTGGCGACGCTACTGGAGGAGCTGACAAATAATGCTGCACTAATTGAAAAGAAACCATTGCACAGGGTAACCACGAGAAGTATTTACTTTTTTGATGGGACTGTACTGATCCTTGGCGGTTCGTGGAGTGATGGAGCAGTGATCATTCACCTCTAAGGAGTGGCCATTTAGTTGTCTCAGTTGCAATGGAGCCAGTTGAACAATGCATGTTTACCTACGATTCGTATGTTAGAAATAAGACTCGGTGGTTGCGGCTCAGCTTGATTATTTGAAGGTTGGCCGGTATGGAGCTGTACCTTCTCAACCAACGATTATGAAATGGGGTAGGAGTTTTCGAACCACGGACGATGAAAAGAACATCAGCAGCTACACGAACGGCCAATGTTGAAATGATTGCGAAAATCACTCTAAACTGCAACCACTGAGTATTATTATTACCCTAGATTAATGTTTCTTGTCTTCATCGCTGTCAGTACTTGGATGCAGTTGCGGCGCGCCAAAATTTTAAGCGTTGATTGAATTTTGGTGTTTCATTTTAATGCATTCTAATCGTTCTCCCCTGACAAAGTGAATTTTGCACCCGAGTTTACTTCAAATTGTTGGGGCTTTTAATTAATTTTAACAGTAACTGTATACTTATCTTGGTGAGGTGTTATCTCAAATATTCAATAGATGGTAAACTCCATATTCTTGATTTCAGACTTCATCCTGGAGATACTGAGTCGATGTGCTGTAATTTTTATGGTTTTGCATTATCATGCAGACCTTAGTTATTTGTCCAATCTTCTTGCATTTGAGTCTTTCCCTTTCAATTGTACAGTCTTTTGAGCGATGGTTTGGCCTTCCGCAGTTGAGGCATAAGCTATCGATACTTTGATAATGGATTCGATTCTCACTGGATTCAGAAGTTTTTCTTTGGCGGTTTTAAGAATAGTGATATCGGCGTTGTTAAGAAGAATTCTGGCTTTTAATTTGTTCATTTTGGTTTTGACTTCGAAGAGGTGGTGGTGGGACATACGATGGGTCGACTCAAGAGTTCATTTCTATTGAAGTTGATGGTTGCAATGTCATGCTTCAAGTGCTTTACCACTGGCGCTATCCCTCTTGGTGCACTAAACGTTCCTCAAGGAATAAAAAATTGAGTTTACTTGGTCAATAAGTGTGCTAGTAATTCACTTGGTCATGTAATATTAATTTCTTTACAGAATTACACATTCACGTTTGGAAGACACCAGTAGTGATTGTAGTGATTATAAATACACCGATCATCTTGTCATGGATTTAAGCAAGCCAATCTTGAGTGCTGATCTATTATATCCAATAATGTGCTGCACAAACTTAGAACATGTATTTATTTGCAACTTGGAAATGGCAACGTTTACTTCATTCAATACAAAAGGTTTAAAGAAAATTTATCTGTGCAATACACGGTTTGTTGTAACTTTAGTTGGAGTGTGTTTTAGTGTAATTTCAATTTGTAGATTCTGCTTAGGATTAACAGATGATGGAAGATTAATGAGTGTGTGTACGAAAACTGGATTAAGGCTCACCACAAAAATTAAAATCTTATTTGATGATATGCTCTTAATATACGACAATAATCACGTGCAAATTTTAGCAGTGACCAAAAAGGACGAAATAGGAAGCTCAGATATCACGCTAATGTCATATCCAGGTAAATAGATTACATTTCTTTACCGTGCAAGTTGACAATATTGTTTCAGAATATAAAACCGTATTCTCCCTAAGACTATCCAGTGGAATACATTTCATCGTACCAGAGCATATTCATGATGAAATAATGTACATCTCAGAAATAAGAGCCGGTGAGGCCATTAAAGAGCTACGATTTCAAATTATTTCCGAAACAGCTCCCGAATATCGTCTTCAACGATTGTTGCGCAGGCAGAAGTTCAAGGAAGCTGAGCAGTTTGCAAAAATGTTTAGCCTGGACTTGACGGAGATTCAAAAAGCAAAGGCTCGATTGATAGTGGATAAGTATGAATGTAATGAAACGGACGTTACTGAGTTACTTGAGATTTTAAATGGCATTTCTGATGACGAGTTCAAAATTTCAAGCTGCTTAAACACCCATTCGTCCTGCAGTAATCTGAAAGATGTGGAACGAATTTTGCGATACATGAACTCTGTGTCACCCTCTGAATTGAGTGCAGTAAGTTGGTAGTGCTTAATGGTTCTGATTTTCTTGTCAAATTATAGGATAGCGAACAATGGGAGAATATTGGCCCAGAGCTCATGTTCAGATTTCATACATTTCTTATGCTTGTAAATGCCGGTTACTTAGAGAGTTCATCTGAAGATTGGAATCATTTCTCAATATGTGATCTGCTTAGCCAACTACGCATTTTACTAGAAGAGGTAATGATTTTTTGACATACTTTGTACATACATTGTTTTTTAGGGTCAAATCGAGGAATTTAAGATTTTATATAATCGACTAGATGCTGCAACTGTAGAGAAATTAAATCAAACAGATATTGCTACAATATTGGATAACGTCAATAAGGTGTGGCATTTATGTCATGTGCTCTTTTAATATATCTCTTTCAGCTTGCTCTCGGAGATCAAGAATCTTTTTTAAGTGCCTTTGTTCCTTTAAGTATAAGCTATCTACCTTCATCGGTAACCACATTCATACAGTGGATAATAAGCAATGTGTATTACATAGAGAAAACCTATTTCGATGCATTTCCCAAGAATGCACTAACGTTCTTAAACCAAATGGTTGTGTTGCTTAAACTTGACTCTATTCACCAACTTGACTTTCAACAATGTTCCATGATTGATTCGGATCTTTTACAAGACTTGGAGAACATTATTGATACTCTCAAAAAATTAGAAGTGTTGAAAACTGAACATAGGATAGTGATTCCACTGCAACATTTGCAGCAGGTTAGTTTTTACTTATTATTTTTGTTATTGCATTAATGAAGCTCCTCATTGTTTTTATGTGTATGGTTGTTTCTTGTTTCCAACTATTTTTAGATACTTTATCATCAATTTTTTTTTACAAAAACTTATGTTTATTGTTACAGGATATGAAGACCTTATTTCCAGGATTGTTGATTTCTTTTGCTAAGAATGAAACGTTTTTAACTCAATTTATTGAAAACTTTGTTCAGCCCCACCAAAATGATGTTTTTGGAGACATAATTGAGGTAGTGATTTTAATTAATTTTTGAAGATGAAAAAGATTGGCTTCTACCATGTCTCTTAATTTTTCAACCCAAAGGGTCGTCATGTACTGATGTTACTTTAATTTTTTCACATGTTAAAAGAGTCCTTCAGTTCTGTTCTCAATGTGGTTTAATTGTTCAGTATGATTGCTGGAGGTTCAAGAAGTTAGTACCTAGCTAACTATTATAAGCATTAACAAAAACGGTGCATCAATAGTGCTCATGGCTGGCATCAGTTGAATGGGTCTTGCAAAATACATTGGAGACCTTGACCAAAAATATAGGCGGGAACGTAACACTAATGCAGAAGATATGGTTCACACAAAGCAAATGATGAACTATAGAAGTTGTTGTTACTGCGTTCAAATAGTATACGAAGTCCTAAGACAATTGTTGCCAACTATACATAATTCAGGTTCAATCAACTGTGATTTATATTCCCATGTAATAAAATAAATCAAACAGGTAAATACTGTAGAAATATAGAACAATTATAACTACATAAGAAATTTGCATTGGTAGATGGCGTTTTTTTCCTTAGTTAGATAATGTTACTTCTTATGTCACACCAAATTTTTTAAGGATCTTGTAAAATATCCGGAAGAATACTGGATTAAAGTTATTCCAATAATGTTAGAATACCTGACGTCTCTGACGAAAAGATTAAATGCAGTTATTATAGTCATAAAAGAAGCACATGTCCCATGGTGCGAAGAAATCCGAAAAATTGCTTCCAGTTCAATTCGTCATAATCACCCATTAGTCTCTCAGATCATTGGAAAAATCCAAGAGGAACGAAAAAGTAGTATTTTGAGAAAGAAACCGTACTGTATCATGAAACCTTATGAGGATAGCTCCAAATTTGTAAGTCACAGTGATAATCACCTCTGCGTTATAGTAAGATTTTCAGATATTATTTGCTATCAATCGGATCTTGTACTGTAACGAGCCTTCGATGGTGCATGACATTTATGAAATTTGTAAGGATTCTGCAACAACAAAGCTCGAAGCAGATGTTTTGATTATTCATCATCTCATTAAAAAGGGGTAAAGCATCTTATAAAATAAATCAATAATAGTAAATGTATTTTCAGCGATTTTTATAATGCACTTGAGGTCTTGGACCGTAATTCGGAAGAATATGTAAGCAAATTGTGCAGAAGATTAGTTATGCATGCCTCAACAGCAATTGATAATGAGGTAAGAATGTTATTCACAGATGTAAATATACTACAGATAGATGATCAGTACTTCCCAAAAGGGCATAGCTATGTGCTCTGTGATTTTCTTTACTAGAGGCATCTATATCTATGGTTAAAATTTCAAAGAAATATCTTGATAAATAAAGAAGTTGGCACTGACTGCGCATGCGCACATCTAATTTTTGCAATATCAGTTATGCTTGCCTTTAACAGAAGCATCTAAGTAAAATTTCAAAAAGATATGTCGATAAATAACAGTTGATATTACGCATCCTGCGCATGGGCGCATTAATCTCATGTTTACAATATGCGATACGTTTGCTTACACTAGAAGCAACTTTGGTTAAAATTTCAAAAAAATATCTCCATAAATAAGAAAGTTGCCATTGCGCAGTCTGCGCATTCGCACATTTGATTTTTACTATATGCGGTATGTTTGCCTTCACCAGAAATATCTGTGGTTAAAATTTCAACAAAATACATTAATAAATAAGAAAGTTGACATTGCGCAACTTGCGCATGCGCACATTAATCTGATGTTTACAATATGCGATACGTTTGCTTACTCTAAAAGCATCTTTGGGTAATATTTCAAAGAAATACCTCCATAAATAAGAAAGTTACCATTGCGCGGTCTGCGCATGCGCACAACTGATTTTCACTAGGTATATGCGATATATTTGTCTTCACCAGAAGTATCTGTGCTTAAAATTTCAACAAAATATACTCGGTGACATGGAAATTGCAACACGTTGACGGAACTGCTGAGATGGAAATGAGCCTCATCGCTTATGAACAAAATCATTTCGCCATTGTTGTCCATGAGATCAATCAGCTGTGAAAAATTCACTCGCTGTTGGTAATCCCCTGCTGACAATTCTTGGCAACCCTGGATTTTGTAGGGGTGAAATGATAAATCGTTTTTCAAGATTCGATGTGCCGCTGATTCAGGCATTTCAAAGGAAGCAGCATGCAAACGGCTCTGCAGCGTATTTACCCATGCACCCTTGATGTTTTCGGGGGTTCTCACCATTCGATTTCGGTCTTGAGGTTTAGTTTGCAACACATTACCTGTGATTGTGATGACCCATTTCATTATCAGTCCAGAAATCTGTGAATCACTTTGTATGTTCAGGTAATGTATGTAATATGTATATAAACAAAAGACTGGTGAGTTACCAGGCGCATAAATCCAAATCACTTTAGAACATGGGATGAGCTGAGCTACCTGTAGTATATATTTACATCCGTTAGTGATATTATTTACACAGCAATTTACTTTTTAGTACAAGCTGGACTCAGTGCAAGAAAATTATTACGAAATCTTAGGTTCCATATTCGTTAGACTACAAAGAAATGAGTCGAGTTTCAAAAAGCAAAACCACTGTAATACATTGCAACTTCTAAGAAATGTTTATCACATTCAAAGAAGTTTCAAGATGAACGTAATATGCAAGGATTTTATTAAGCCTGTGAAAAAATATTTACTCAGCAAGCTAATGCCAGTACTTACTGAGGAGTACAGCAACAACAAAAATACAGTCGTCTGCGTTAGATCATGTGAGAAAATGGCAGAGTATTTAAAACTAGACAGTAAGGATGTCTTAATTGAATTATGCCGACAAATAATCGGAGACTATAATATAATTGTAAGTGCTGGGCAAGTGCTTTACAAAAATGAAGATGATCCGAAGAGTCTATGTGCAATGGCAACACTCTTATTACTTTGTATTGGTATTCCAAACTCACGTTTTGAGATTAGTGATGCTAATAGGTGGTGCGATTACGAGCATATAGATCTAAAACCATTTACCGTTGGATTAAGGCTTGCCAGAAAACTAATGGTAAAGGCGATTTTGACCGCTTCAGAAGTTGATTTAATTCGTTGCATGGAAATAGCAAACTGGACGGAAATGACATATTTTGTCAGTTATCCTGAGATACACAATGAAAGTTTGCACAATGTTTGCCTAAGTAATGCAATGACTGCTAGTCTATCTTTATTTAATGGCATCAAGACTGTGTTTAAATTTTATGTGCAGCATCTAGGTACAATGAATTCTTTGTCCTCCTTTTATGATAATAATTGATTTCAGATATGACTACAAACTCCCACATGTCCAACTTGTATATAGAAACAAATGGTGACATTGGAAAACTGGAGGTAATTAATGTTTTGCGGTTGGTAAGGCTGGCCTAACCAAAGAGTACTGGAAATGATTGTTAGTTTAACCATTTTTTGTGTTTGTTTGGGTGCAGTTTTTAAATTATTTTAAAAAAATCCTGGGCAGCGTTCCCGGCAACAACATAGAGCAAAGGTTTGTTTGCTAATCAATTCGGAAAGACTATGTTTTGTGTTCGTTTGTTTAGCTAATAAAGAAAGAGAACAAACAGAATATAAAATCAATTTGTAAAGTGCTTTTGTTCTTCTTGAACTTCATGGTAGCTTCACAATTACTGTTGGACAACAATTGTTGAATATGAGAATTTTACCACACTGTCCGTTCTTTTTTTAGAAAATATTCATTGAGCACACTTAAAAATATTGAAAGCAACCCAAAGCATTTTGGGTTCAGTCTTTATTATTTGTCACACGAGTTTATGTAGGCACAACACAAATTATGCGAATTTACGGACATAGAAACTGTATAATGTATATGCGGTAGCCACATTATAAATTCCCATTTTATAAACGAGCAAGCCACTTAATAAAATTCGGCCACATTGTAAAATAAATGTTTAGTCGGAATTAATTTGTAGCCCAACAAACATTTTTACTTTGGCCTATCATTGGTTCAACATACACATCTCCCCTAAGTCAACATTGGGTCAACATCGACGAACAACGTTTGGCCAGAATCTTTATGTCTCTGCGGCCATAGGTTGGCTGTCAACAGATCACAGATTACAGTTTGTCACTTATTTTCCGTCATGGTGTGTTGGAAAATTTATTCTGCTTTTCCCCTCTTACGTTTTCCGCCATCTCTATCTCCAGCCGTCCACAGCTACGATTTTATAATGTTTTCCATCTCTATTTGGATAGATTCCCGCAAATGTGGATTTTTTCGCAGTGTTAATATAATATATAAGTTGTATTAATATTACTATTATTTAATGGATTAAAAATACACACCACGTACCAAATATTTTTATATTTAGAAAATGCAATTTTTTCATGGCGACCAGCCCAGTTACATTTCAATGCCATGGTAGTAGAAACCTTTTTGCCAACACTCAACATGTGATCTCTGTGATATCTTTTCCATCAAGCGTTCGGAGAGTAACCACACTAAAAAAAAGTTAAAATAATACCTAATACAGTAAAGTGTAATAATACATACAGCTTTTAGTAGATATACTCATTATCTGATAACACGTTCTCCAGCTGCTGCAAGTCTTATTAATAATAATAATAATAATATTTTATTGTGCTCATGTGATGCTTCACTTACACTTGTCATACACTGAATAGATAATACAAATAAAAAATACAAAATATACAAACAGAAAAATATCACAGATTTCTTTTACAATAAATAACATAATTTTCGAAAGTATAAAAAGCGTTCACGACTAGCAGGTTTTTTACAAAAGACTTAAAAGCACAAAATGGTAGTTGTTGTATGTTAGATGGCAAACAGTTGAATAAGAAATTCGATTGGTACTGGACACCATCTTGGGATTTGCATAATCTGTAAAATTCATTTCGAATACTTGTTTTATTTCGGGTGTCATGTGCATGTCCATTGACGTAAATTTTTTGAAATGTTACGTTTTGCATAGCAAACAGCCTCGAGAATATAGATGCTTGGAAAAGTTAGAATTTTAAGATTTACAAACTCCTTTTGGCAGTCCTCTCTATAACCCATTCTGTTTATCAGTCGAACTGCTCTACGTTGCAGCTTAAAAATACACCGTCAGTGTGGGCTGTGTCCCCAAGCAAGGATCGCATATGATATTGTACTATGAACAAATGCATAGTAAGCTGTCTTAATAGTATTTTGCGATGTACTGTTCCTTAACATATTCATTAGAAATATTGACTTATATAACTTTTTTGATACCTTACTACAATGGTTATGAAATTCTAGTCTACAGTCAATAACACAGCCCAAGAAATTCGTTTGATTATCAGTCAAAGGATTATCATTCCTCAAAGACAAAGTCAGGACCTTAGTTTTCGCCTGATTTAACTTTAAAGAGTTGTTAGCACACCATGTTGCGACAACATTAATGCTGTTTTGTATATCCAAGTATGACGAATTAAAAACTACATCTGTGGAAATTAGTGTTGCATCATCGGCATATAAAATACAATGAACCTTAGCCGGTAGAAATTCCGGAAGGTCGTTGATATAAATTAAAAAAAGCAAGGGCCCGAGTATAGACCCTTGCGGTACACCTCGTTTAATTGGTAACTTCTTAGAAACCACCTTATTAAAGTTCACGCACTGGTATCTGTTAGTAAGGAAGGACTTTATTAGAGACGCACTTTTATTACCAAACTTGTAAATTTGCAAAAGCTTTCGTATTGGATATCATGGTCTAAGCAATCGAATGCTTTAGATAGATCCACAAACGCGGCAACCATATACTGTTTTTTCTCAAAACACTGTAGAACATTTGTGACCAGAGAGGTAATTGCATCAGATGTAGATCTGCTTTTCCGAAAACCATATTGATGATGGTAGAAGATGTCGTTACTCTCAAAGTAATTAGTAAGCTGTTTGCAGAGAATCTTTTCTATAATTTTACTAAAGATTGGAAGATTAGAGATGGGTCGATAACTGTTGATATCATTTTCGTCCAAGCCTTTCTTTAGTATTGGGTTGACTAAAGCAACCTTTAAATTATCAGGGAAAATACCAGATTCGATAACAATATTTGCGAGTTTAGTTAATGGAGCGACAAATGAACTAATATTGCGCTTAATTAGCGCGATACTTAAACCAAAAATGTCTCTAGCATTACTATTTCTGAGGCTTTTTATAGCATCGCGAGTAGCGGTTTGAGACACACTTTTGAATTCAAACACGAGTTCAGCTCCAATATTCAATTTACAAGAACTGATCATATCGTTGTCGTTTGTTTTACAATTGACCAAAATTTTGTCAGCAACAGTGCTAAAGAAAAGATTGAAATCATCGCACGATAACGTCGAAAGCGGTTCTATGTTACAGTCTTTATTCGACTTGATTAGAGTCCACATGGCTTTGCTGGAATTCACAGAATTCGTAATGAAGCTATCATTCGCCCTTATTTTGGCAAGCCGGATCTGTTTTTTGTAATTCAGAAACAAAGATTTTTTCAGTCGGTATAAGTTCTCAGTCCGATATTTATTGTATAAGTCACTAACCAATTGTAAGCTGTTACGTAGTGAACGTATATGATTGTTAAACCAGTTAACTTTAAGTTCACGTCTTTTATTTTTAAATTTTACGAGAGGAAAACTGTCGTTGTGAAATTCGCAGATGAGACTCTGGAAAATATTCCAGATATCGTGGCAATCGTCTCGTTTGTTGTGAAAGAGTAAACTCCAATTATAATTTTGCAGTTTACAAAAAAATGAGTACATTCCAGAAGTGGATAATGGTCGATATGATTTAACTATTGGTTTGGTGGCACCGATAGTGTTTAGTTCCATGACAACGTGTTGACCAACGTGGTCAGAGAGACCAGTATTGATACATGTTGATTGAAAGTTAGAGCGTTCTATTTGAGGCTTGAGTCGCGGAAGAAAAAACCGATTGACACAAGTACCATTCGGCCAGATGGCAGGATCCATAACTTTGTTTAAATCCGAAAGATTCACCGTCACTTTAAATGAAGAATAGTACGTGGGATATTTGGACTGAAGTTGTTCACAAATAACCTCATTAAATAAAGGTTTCAAGTAATTATGTAACATGTCTACAGTAGTAGAGGAATCTAACTTGTACACATGCACATAGGCTCTTTGAATCGCAGCTTTGATGTTACAAGTGAGGTTTTGACAGTTATTTCCAATTACAGGCATATTACGAGTTGGTTTTGTTTTCTTCTCGCGAGTTACTAACTTCCAATCGTCCTTAGGGATGTCGTCTGTGTGACCTTTCACAACATTGGAGTAAGGGGCCGCACCAGTAGCAGTACCAGCATTGGAACGTACAGTATCTGTAGCTGATGCACTATTCTCATGAGTTTTTAAATTCGATTTCACCGATAAATCGTTTGAAGCGATTATTGGTGGTTTATCGGACTTAGTTTTGGACTGGTTTGTTTGTTTATTTACTTTCTTGGTCAACACCGATTTCGAGGTCGGGTCAACACTGATATCACTAATGGTCATACCTGATACTTGCATTTTATTTAGAAGAACAATTTGATTTTGCAAAGACGAAATCGTGATTTCCTGATTGGATATCAAACGTTCTTTCTCAATAATGAGATCTCTTAAAAATTTTATTTCCATTTCATATAACTTATCAGTAAGTAAGGCATTCTCATCATGCGCAGAGTCGTCACATTGCACAGAACCAGTATTTACGCAACAGTCTAGTTGCTTGTCACTAATTAATTTAACATTTTTTATGTGTTTGGCACAGCTGGGATGATACACCGAATCGCAATTGATACATTTTAAAAATGTTAAAGCCGTTTTAGAGCAACGTTTACAAGTTTTGTTACATGGCGTGTCGGACGCGTCCGCACTACCGCCCGCCATCTTAACATACCTATTCATTATGGGCAGCTGTAAATGTGATCTGGTCTATTTGAGTGTCATCTAAAAAGCATTATGCGGGTCACTCTGTAAGTGGGCGCAAACCTGTTGAGGGCCCAGAACAAGAGAGGAATAATAAATAAATAAATCAGGCACATAATTTTTTGGGGGTTCTTTTAAAACTGCTGCTACTTCGCTTGAGAGTTTCTCAAATTTTTGAAGTAAATGCATTACTAAAAATATCAGTCTATGGAAAATATATAGCATAAATACATAGTGCATTGAAAGAGTAGTAAAAAAGAAGCTACCAGTATACCCACCTTTATTTTTTGTAATCATTTGCAAGTGCATGCATTGTAGCTCGTACTTGCGGCCATATCTCGCTCTTGCACCCTTGGTTTTGATGTAGTTGGCACAGTAGATGTAACTTGCTTTTTTCTGGTAATATCATATGATGAAATCTCTTGTTTCGAATTTAGGAAAACTTCGAATTATATTTTTCTATAAACATTTACCGCCACTTCCTCTTCTGTTTGGGAGACATTTTGTTGCTGTTGTAGTAATCTACCCATTTTTTATTTCGCCTTTCAGTATTCAGCTGCAAGAAAAATGTATCAGTAATTCAAATTAAATTAGTTATTAAAGTATGTGCGTACTTGTACTTACTAGAATTGTATTTGACATTTACAAGCCAAAATCCAGCTTAATTTTGATTGAAATCTTGGTGATTGATGACTGCCTTGGTGTTTAACAAATCGGATTCATATGGCGGCCAGTAACACATATCTTGCCCGTTATCTATAACCAGCCATCTTTCAGAAATGATATCCATGGGAACATTTCCGTCTTCATTTTCCTCCTCGGGAAACACCACAACCACATAGTTGCTTAAAAATTATCCAAACAAAATTAACAAACATAGACTAATAATAACATATTTAGTAACGGGCGATCAAAAATGAGTTGCTGTCGAGTCGCCTTTGGAAGTTCAAGTTAAATACGATTTCCCATATAAACAAAAGTTCCAAAGGTGACTCGACAGCAACTCATTTTTGATCGCACAGTATTAACATTAATAAATAAATTGAAAACGCATGCTCATAAGTATTAATAGTCCAAGATCCCAGGGCTCTCTGTTCCCGTTAGCACCTTCTATGGCCACTTTTTTTTTGGAGAATCGAAATCTTTATCAGAATTTCCATAGCACGCTAGATGTAGAAGCTACAGACTACTGCTTTCATATTTCTAATAGGCGGCATATTGGATTTTTACGGAGTGAGATAGAGGACAAAAAAAGAAAAATAATGGCGTGTCACAATCTATACTTTTACATAAATTTACATGAAAAATTTTAAAATCACATGCGATGCATTCAAATGAATTTGAATTTGAGTTGTTGAAATATTCTAATTTTTGTGTTTTCTTAGAAATACGCCATATAGCTAATTTAAAAATTAAAGCAAATGCAACCTTTTTCCTGTGTAATCTAATGAAGGAAACTGAAATATTGCAGATAAAAGGTCTTACTTTTGAAATTAGTACGACCCAGGAGTACGACTATATGGCAGAAACACAAAAATTGGAATATCTCAACAACTCTTCACATTCGCATTCTTGGCTAAAACAACTGCAAATGACCTCTATTAACATGTACTATAATATACAGTGATATTCATGTAGAAGTACATAGGGATTTCTTATATGAATTTCGTATGTCTACTTTTACATGATAAAAGTCTTCTAAAGGACGCCTAACTTTATGCAACCAAAATAACTACCTACAACAAATGAAGATCTGCCTGTCATATTAATTAATTTGAATATTATTGCTTTGTCTTCCGTATTCTAATTTTCGTTCTTGTGCGATGTTATTCAACTAAAGAAAAGTTGATATTTCCAATTATTGGTATAGTGCCGATAACAGTTAAAGGAGCCTAAGAGATTTATTTTTTGTCAAGCCAAAGCAACAATATTCAAATTAATAATTAATATGACAGCCAGATCTTGATTTGCTTCAAGAAGTTATTTTTGTTGCATGAAATTGGACGTCTTTCAGAAGACGATCATTTGAAAGTAGACATAGGAAGTCCCTATGTCTACTTCTATATGAATATCACTGTATACGTTTATCAACCAGTCACCCTGTCTATTACTGCTAATTAAACGCAAATATAACAAATCAAAAGATTCAGTTGGTATGTAATTTTGGCGTTGATTTTATTTCATAGAAATTTGTTAGCTCCTTGAATCTTGGAAAAGCACAACTTGTAAAAAAAGTTGGCAGCCAATATATTTTTTATCAAGGATGCTATACCGGGTGGTGCCTAGAGCGACGCAGCATAGGGATTTCAATGGTAATTGCTTTATAGGCAATTACTAACTCCCCTAATTATTTTAGAGCAAAAGTCTAAATGTATTTTTTTTAGAGAAAAAAATACTGCATCTGTTCATACTATTACTTATAATTTTCCGTTTTTTAAAACCGTAGAAATCGACAAAATAAAAAGGTCCATTTTACAATTAATCAGATGCGCCTGGGAACTACTTAAAAAAACAGCGATCACGTTTCATTATTTGCCTTTGACGTATATTAAATTTATACTTGTTCATGAATTAGTTAATCATAAAATTATTTATCATGTATTTAAATGAAGAGAAAGTGGAAATGTTAAAGCTGTTTTATGACCGCCAAGTAACGTCTTTAGTTAGTGTGAAGCACCCCAATCGGCCGATTCCAAGCAGTACCACAGTTAGACAAAATTGTGTGCAAGTTTGAAAGAACAGGCACAGTGTTACATATCTGCAATTGCAATAACGTTCAAAATATCCGTCAAAACCATCAGGAGAACGACAATACATTCAACGTTTAGACTGCAGTAGCGGAAAATTCGAATATAAGTTTAAGAACAATTTCTTCCTCAAGTCAAATTCTTTTTTTTTTTCAATTACATATGCAGGTACTCTGGTTCCGGACAATGATAAACAAATAGCAGATGCAGCATTACATTCTCTAAAAAAACATTACCCAATAAATTGACGCTTTTTCTTGCAACGGATAGTTGTAACAGAAATAAATATGAAAATCGTTTGACGTCAAACAACGATAACTTAGATGCGACGCGCTTATAGTTTGTTATAAAGATTCCAAAGCATCACTGATTTATAAAAATGTAATTTTTTATTTTGCCGATTTTTACGGTTTTGAAAAAGGGAAAATTATAAATAATCGTATGAACAGATGCAATACTTTTTTCTCTAAAAAAAACGTATTTAGACTTTTGCTCTAAAATAATTAGGGGAGCTAGTAATTGACTATAAAGAAATTACCATTGAAATCGCTATGCTGCGTCGCGCAAGGCACCACCCTGTATAATATAGGATTTTTTAAAAATAATAGTAATAATTTATTCATGCTAATGTACATAAAGTACTTACATATCGTCATTCCTTAGGTACGATAGTCTAGATTGCCTGACTACACTCATAATGTTGCATATGTCATATTCCTACTCTAATGTGACGTCACCAACGGACCAATAGCTATTATATGTACATATATATATATATACCACAGCTGACTCCTCCGTAAGCTCGCTGCCATTTTGGACCCCACTGACAATTAACGCTTGCTAAATGTTGCATGTCCTGCATGTATTGTCTTATCATTTAAAGAGTAACTATTGATTTTTTTAACGTTTATTAATGCATACAGATATTTAAGGTAAGATTTAACACACGTAAACAGTTTTACCGTGCACAAATTTGAACTGTCATTTGGTTCCAAAATGGCAGATGAGTCTGTTGCCTTAATCGAGTATTGTAAACGGACCTGGCTTATAATTTGCTAAGTTTAGTATGCTTTATAATACCGGCCGATAGTGTTTTATATTTGTCGTTTAATGTTGTTGCAGAGCAATCCAGCAATAGATGTCTGCTCCCTTCATTCTTCAATAACAAGTTTATCTGTTGAGGGCAATGGCTATATGGCATATAAACTAATTGAAGTGCTGCACAGAAATATGATTTGCATTAACGACAGCGATGCAGAGTTGTCTGACAATTTACATGAAGTGCTACAAAACTGCGCTAAACGCTTGTTGCATCAGATGTTCTCGTCTGCTTCCATTAACATAGATTTTGCGTTCAATCTATTGATTATCTTAAAAGACGTGAGCTACTGTAAACGTTTTTTGGTGCAAAGTTTAAAACAATATAAAAGAAATTTTGTCAAATTTGAGAAGACTGCTCAAGTTTCTCTAAGGTTTCTGAAACATTACAACGTTGAACATGGACAGCTGTTATGTGGGGACATCTTATGTCTTTCAAAATGGTGGAAGCGGTTAAATAATTGTTGCATTCCATATGAGGAATTTTTCAGACAGTCACCAAGAGAACTTCTTTCAAAGCTCATTAAATTGAAGTGCTTAGATACAAAAATGATAAATAGATTTTGTTTAGACGCCAATTTTGACGTTGATCAACATTATCAGCTCTACTTGGAAAGCTTGCTATTGAATTGGGAGCCTCGTTATAGAATTTGCGTTAATGGTACTGGCGCAGTAAGGCTTGTTATGGAACACAAAAAAGATGAATTCTTTGAAATATGTTTAGAAGTTATTCATCTTATTGACTCGGTTGATGTTGTACTGGATTTACTGAAAACCATTTGGGAGAAGGTAAGTGCATTCTAATATTATTTAGCTTTTTGTACTGATTGAAAGCAGCATGATGATTATACTTTTTTTTCTTTGTAGTTTTCGACAGTTATTGTTCCTTTGTCCCATATTTTTGATCAAGGCTTTAAGGTTAATTAATTAGAAGCAGAATTTTATTCTCCTTCAAAATACTAAAAATGTACTGGGTGTTTCGTTTTAACAAATGTTATTTTGTTGTATATTTTGAGAACTCCATACTCAACTGTTTTTGTGTTTTGGTCCCCTGTATTCCTAATGAAAATGCTAATTTTACCGACTTTGTAGCTCCAATAATAAGAAAATTCTAGAATCTTTTCACACATGTTTTTACAGGAATTTCTAAAGGCTAATTCAGATTATGCAATTATTCCGTGCAAATCTGTTACACGTATTTAAAATTCGTTGCGCAATTTTCTCTGGAACACGTTAGTTTAACAAAATTTGGGTTGAAACTTCTATATTATCTCTTATTTTATTCTCTATAACTGTTTACATTATGAGAGTTATTGGGAAGTGCTCTCTGACACAAACTTGTGAGAGTTTTACTATCCCCTGTAAATTACGCTTTAGTTACTAATTTAAGATATTTTAGGTCAACTTTTATCATTATGAGGTGTTCACTTGCATTCTGGACTTATTATCTTTTTTGGGTGCAAGTTCTGATAACAAGGAGAAACGCACTGTATTATCATTTTTGTATTCGTACAATCGAGTTGGCAAGCCAGGGGAAACCGAAGTTGAACAGTGGTTTACACTATATCCTGATACTCAATCTATTGCTGCTCTGTCTCAGTGGCGATTACCTTTCACTCCTACACTATTAACTAATAAAATATGGAGCATCATTCGACCGGAAGTAAATTTAAAAACATACACGCATTGGTTTAAAGCCATACGAGTCTTACTAAATCTGACTCAGGATGACATATGCAGTTATGTTGTAAAAGATGTTGTAAGTGCGTGCAAATAATCATCCAAAAAGAGTTTAAGTATTTTTTTAGATATCAAGTGGCGTGTTTGCAAACAATAACGTCGAAGAGTGGATGATTCAGGCTAAGCATGAGGAATTGCTTCAAGAAATAGATCTGTGTATGCAAAATATTAGTAATTACGAGTTAGCCACAGCTACATTGTATACATTAATTCCTAATATACCAAAAGGTAAGTGATTTCTTCAGTTGATTACTTTTGGTACTGATACTTGCGTTCGGTGTGTTGTTGAGAAATTTAAGTAATATTTCGAATGAATGTCATTGGTAGTGCACTTACTAAGATTAAGAAGTATTACACTTACATTAGCGGCAAGTGATGAGAAAGCTTTTTAACCTGTTTTTTTTTAAATGTAATTTTAAGGAGCGGACATGGTGAATGCGGCTGCTTTATGTTACAAGTATGCGTGCAAATATCTAGCACAATTCCCAAAATCTGTCGATGTTCAAAAGGCTGTGATCAAAGTAAGTAGATTCTACCAACATTTATATTAATGAAAGGTTTTTATTTCAGGTGCATAAGAAGTATTTACATTTTTCGATTATACATATACTTCATGTAAATAATTTGGCTGATAAGAAGTATCTCGATATTATAGGATTGCCCATTGAAGATTTCATCAAAGCATTATATATGGATGATAGAATTTTGAAAAAAAGGGAACTCATTAACGTGTATTGTCCAGGTAAATACAACACTTGGGTATCTGTAGTTACAAAACCAGGACTGAAATGTCAGCTGGTATTAATAATTCTGTTCCTGCTTTTTAAGTGATATATGAAAAAAATGTTATTTTCTTGCAAATTTGTACCGACAGCTGCTATTTCAATATAGCAAACAATTTTAAACACATTTTCAAGGAGTAGGGATCTTTTTCTGTATGATTGAAAAATAAATCGTCTTTCCATTCAAATCACTTCATTGCAAGAACTATTCACATAGGTACAGGATGTCAATTTTAAAACTTGCAGTCGGCCTATGAATTAAAAATAAATAATACACCAGACATGCGTGATCTGCAAAATGCACATACTGCGCTGACGCAGTTAAGAATTGAAGCATTGTCCAGGTCCGTACTTAATATTAACACTGATTTTATCTCTCGCGCTTAAAACAGTTCCTTCGGATATACTATTTTCTATCTATTAGTATAAATTCAAATTGAAAATCATCCCAAACGTATTACTGACGTTATTTATTTACAGATATAAATAAAGCAGTTGAAGAATTGGCTGTGCTGCATAATATAAACGTTCAAGAAAAAAGGATAGAATTGCTAACTTACTGGTTGTCCGTCCCTTTGCTGTCAGTACCCTTCTCAATAAAGAAGGATACATCAATTCAAATGAACTCATTGCACGAATTCAACAATACGTCGGAACATTTGATTCGGTACATATTTATAATCAACCCTTACTTACTTCTTACTTTATCTTTCAGAGCATCTTACTTATGTACCAGTGGAAACTTGTCAGACTGGCAATCATATTTACTGGCGGTGGGAAATGTCGAGGTAACCGAATCAAAAAATTTGGGCTTCAAAGCAATGGCCCTAAAGTGTTTTTGCAACATTTCCACCATTAAGGATATTGAAAGGCTAACCGGGTCAACCTATAATGAGTATCGGTACGTTTCAGATGACAGACAAACTGAAAGTCACTTGCACTTTTCAGGAATTTCATAAATAAATTATCTCTAATAAGTAATCTGGAGCATTTTGGCTTTTATTTTACAATTGATGCCCTAGATAGACATAATAAAGTGGAGCTGTTGAATCGATTATCCTACCACATGAATAGCATTATGTCATTAAAGGTAGTGGCCTCTGTATGTGTAACGTATACAATTTATGAAACAAAGTATTGGGCAACCATAGTAAGGGGTATGGTAAAGTTAGAGATGGTATGTATAATCATGTGGTTGTGATTTTTTGAGTTGTAATTCTCATTGTAGTTTCAAGAATTAAAAGAAAGTTTAACGTTTTTGAAGAAGAAAGTAGTTGTGTACAATTTGCAGTGGTATATAGATGCTTGGCAGTTTGTAATAAATTATTCTTTGAAATCTACATCACAAGTTGATCGCGGAACAGTTCGGAAGCAGTGCATTGATAGCTTTATTGTGATACAAGTTAATTAATCACTTATGTAGAATTACAATCTGACTGCATGAGTTCTTTTAGGCATGTCCAGTATTATTTTCATTAAACTTTGAGCCTATCATTGGAAAATTTTTGGAGCTGGAACAATATGAATTTGTAGCATTGTTGCTTCAATATTTAAAGAAAGAGGACCAAGATCGTTACATAAAGGTATTTATTTAATATTGTACGCATATTTGATCGTAATACTGTTTTTAGGCGTTACATAATGTTAATATAAATATTGGTGACAGATTTAGAGAATTAATAGGCATGGGATTTGTTGGTTCTACACATGTAAGTATAATTTTATATTGTTTTGTTTCTTCATTGTTTTTGGGCGTCAGCGCGTTATTTTACCGCACACATACACACACACTTCAAACAACTATTCAGATGTATTAAAAAAACCTAACCCAACTGTTGTATTTGCGCAATCATTATCATTATTTATTGAGATATTCAATTGAAATTTTCTATGTAGGCACCTCGAATAAAAGTATAACTAATGCTGAATCAAAAAATTATTTTGCGCGCTGAAATAGTGGTACAGAATCAACCGCCTAAGGTGCGTTGTAAAAATGATGGTTGCGTAAACATCTCAAGGATCGTTTGGTGTTCAGTTGTACTTATCAGATTTTTTTGTATTGTTACCGACAAGATATAGCCATATTATGTCTTGTAAGCCATAGAAAATATGAAGATTGTCAAATTAGAAAAAAGTTACGCAATTAAAGAGCAATTATCATGCTGTAAAGAAAACCAGAAAATTCTGATTACTTCCAAACATATGACGGAAAAACCGAAATTTGCCGATTTTGTTTTTATTTTTTTCTGATGTTATTTCAGCAGACTCAAAAAATAAAACACTTTCTCATTGCCTCTATTTGAGCTCTAAAAGACAGCGTTGACGCATTTTCGATACAACGTTTTGTTTTGAAGAAATCATTGACTTTATTTTTATATGGCCCGTGAAAAAAGTACATAATGTATTGAATAGGATCTTTTCTTATTCCAGGTCCCATTGGTGTTCTTGCACGATTAAGCCGTTGTGCATGGGTACACTGTCCTGTTAAAACCACGAGCTTCCTACTTTTATTTTTTTTGTGTGCCGTACATCATTGTAATCGTAATAAAAATTGCTAATACAATATGTACTTTTTTTATGGGTCATATAAAAAAAATAAAGTTGATGATTTCTCCAAAACGAAATGTTACCTATATTGCAAATCTATACCAGGAAAGTTTGGTGTCATTAACCACTGCAGAGAAAAAATTAATTTCATCTCCATACCTTCATCACCTATAGTTCGTTTCACCAATAATTTAACATTTCTCATTAGGTTGTTAAGTAGCGGGAATTCCCACTGCACATTTAAAGCAATAGGACAATAGCCACCATTTAACTAAAAGTCAGCGGTTCTCAATAAAATTTTAATGTTTCAAACGCCAAATTGTAGTGCTCGTATAAATCGGCCCATTTCCTTAATAATCGATACATTTAAAATGTAGTTCCTTAAGGAATGCGTCGATAGGACATTAACGACAATAATCGTGTTGATACCATATTAATGTATTAATTAAATAGGTAGACACATTCCAAGTATATAGTTTCCCCAATTACAATTTGGCGTTTGAAACATTAAAATTTTATTGAGAACCGCTGACTTGTAGTTAAATGGGGGCTATTGTCCTATTGTTTTAAATCTCCCAGTGGGAATTCCCGCTACTTAACGCTACTTAATGACCTAATGTTAAATTATTGGTGAAAGGAACTATATCACTCCATGCACTCAACCAACCTTGTTTATTTGTGGAGCAATTGACCAAAAACTTTAAAAGCAAGGTAAGGGAATAGAACGCATATAAAAAAGTGGAATGTGTACTTGTGCAGAACGAAATGTCTATCCTTTGCCCAAATTTTGATCATAACACCTACAAAGTGACATGATGTAATTTACTTTTTTTAAATTTCAGGTGCAGAACATCTTATCTAAATTTCACAATGGGAGTGATTTAAATGAAGTGGATTAGGATTACGCATTATTGTTACTGTTGTATGACAAGATATTTTTATTTTTTCATTAAAAATTATGTATTTTCTTTATTGTTAAGCGAGCATGATTTCTGTAGTCCCTATTTCTTTTATAGATAATAGATACTTTATGGCTATTTGCTATGGCAAATTTAAGGGGAGCTTAGCTTAAAGCGTAGCTTAAAATCCATGGCAACCATTGTCTCAATAATCGTTGCCATGGATTTTAAGCTAAGCTCCACTTAAATTTGTCGGTGCAAACGGCCATAGGTATACCAAGGGTGGAATTCATAGATATTATACTTAAGTTAGACATACACTTTACTAAGTGCACACTTAGTTTAGTTTAATTGAAACTTATATTTACTACTTAACTGTTTGAATTTCGCGCGTTACTATAGCCCTAATGTAATAATAATGTAATGTAAGAGGTCACTTTGGCTAATATTTTTTTGAATACCAAAATATTGCTAAGTACACATTAAGTATGAGTAAATTAAGTGTCTAATGGTCGTTTGCACCGACAAATTAAAGTAGAGCTTAGCTTAAGCGTAGCTTAAAACTAGGCATGGGAATTTTTTTCGATATATCGATAGTTATCGATATATCGAATAACAATAGGTAGAGCTAAAAAAATCGATAGATCGATAAGTATCGATATATCGATATGTCGATAACTATTGATATATCGATAACTATCGATATGTCGATAACTATCGATATGTCGATAACTATTGATATATCGATATGTCGATAACTATTGATATATCGATGTGTCGATAACTGTACGATAAAATCCATTTTCGGGTTTACTCTCGTGCAAATTTACTATTTTTAGTCGCTCGACGATTCGGAAACTTAACTTTGCTCCCTTTCTCAAGAGAAGCGCTACGTCACATCATCATCCATGCCAAATAAACGCAGTAATAAAATCTTTAGAAAATAGATATTTTCGTCTTACTGACGATTGCTCAAAAAAAGAAGCACTTCAAAAACTTGAACAAAATGTTGCATCAAAATGGCTACTCTTTAGGTAAAATAAAGAAGACAATCAAAGGGTGTAATCATGGTCTATGTATCGGTATCTGACTGATGGTTACAGAGGACCAGTCACAAAAAAACAGAGAAAGCTAAGAACACTTCAAATTTAGATATACAGTTTCAATTGATTGACATTTACGAAATCTAACAAAAAACTCTTGATAAAGGTAGCAAAGAAACGTCGAGTAACTATTAATACCTAGTCACTTTACACGAGAATAAACCGGAAAATGGATTTTATTAATAAAACTCGATAAGATAACTATCCCTGTCGATAACTATCGATACGTCGAATATTTCTCTCAAATGAGATGTGCAATTACCGCTTAATTACAGCGGTAATTGCATTGTAGAAACTATAATAATGTGCGATAATTGCACAAGTTAATCTGGTAACTCCAATAAAGTTGCAAGAACTGCATTCGGTTATTTTCATATTTTGTTAAAAGAGCCCTCTTGTCTTGTCGGGCTCTTTTGCCAAAATATAAAAGTAAACTCATGCAGTTTTTAGACACGCTTTCAAAAAAATTATCGGTAATATTATATCGATACCTATATATTAAAAACTATCGCCATAACGAGAACTATCGATATACCGATACTTATCGATATAGCGACAGTTATCGATCTTTCGATAGTTATCGGTGTATCGATAACCATTGATATTTTGATAATTATCGGCATATCAATAAGTAAAATATATCGATAGGTAACTACCAGATACTTATATCGATAGGTGAAAACAGTTATCGCCCATCCCTAGCGATAACTATCGATATATCGATACCTATCGATAGTATTCATATATCGATAACTATCGAAATATCGATAACTATCGATATATCGATAGACAAATCGATAACTATTGATATATCGATAACTATCGACATATCGATCGATAACTATCGACATATCGATAGGTATCGATATATCGATAACCATCGATATTTCGATAATTATCGGCATATCGATAAGTAAAATATATCGATAGGTAAGTACCCGATACTTATATCGATAGGTGAAAACAGTTATCGCCCATCCCTAGCGATAACTATCGACATATTGATAACTATCGACATATCGATATATCGATAACTATCGACATATCGATACCTATCGATAGTAATCATATATCGATAACTATCGATATATCGATAACTATCGAAATATCGATAACTATCGATATTTCGATAATTATCGGCATATCGATAAGTAAAATATATCGATAGGTAAGTACCCGATACTTATCGATAGGTGAAAACAGTTATCGCCCATCCCTACTTAAAACCCATGGCAACCATTGTATCAATATTCGTTGCCATAGCTTTTAAGTCACGCTTAAGCTAAGTCTACTTAAATTTGTTGGTGCAAACGTCCGTCAGTATGCCTTAAAGTTAAGCATAACTTAAATACCATATTGTCTTAAACAATCGTTACCATAGATTTTAAGTTCGACTTAAGCAAGGTTTGATTTTGTTGGTGCAACCATAGAGTAAATTACTCTGGTGCAACTGAACATAACTTAAGTTAATCTATGAATTCCACCCTTAAAAGCGCCCTCTATTGGGCAGCAATTAAAACTGTAAAATGACGTTTAAGGATTTATGCATTTGATATCGTTCCAAAAAATTTAAAACGATTGCAATTCAGTCCAAACACGTCTTGTTTCACATTCTACCAGTGGTGCATCGAAAAAAAGATCAGGGTTAGAAAATTGAACATGATTCCTAAAAAAACCCCTGTATATTCTCACTTTATATGACCAATGATGTAAGTCTTTCAGCGTAACTTGTATTTAAAATATGAGCGAAATATCTTAAAAACCGCAGGCGATATAAAGACAAATCTTGAAATTGTAACACCCTGTAGATTGATAACGAAGCTTTTGCGGATCTATGTTTATATAAACTTTATCATAAAATAGACCAAAGAATTAGTCTCTTCCGTAGTTACATCATATTTAGAAACACCCTGTGTATAGTCACTTTTTTTTTGCTTATCTCATTTTCAATGAACGATTGTATATTCTTGCTGTGTAGCTCATTATTTTTATTCATTACGCTCTCAGATACTTGCATACCTAAAATCCTAAATGCATTATACTTTCTCTTTCTTTTAATTTGCTCTTTCTCCCATACATTGACGTAGTCTTGTACCATGCGATCAAAAATGAGTTGGTGTCGAGTGACCTTTGGAATTTTTGTTTACATGGAAAATCATACTTAACTTAAAATTCCAAAGGCGACTCGACAGCAACTAATTTTTGATCGCTCGTTAGCTCCTTTTCCTCGCCTGCAAATCCGCAGATCCATATTGCGTCTAGTTGATTGCATTCGATATGCGTTCTTCTTATTTAATGCTATCAATACTCAATGCCTATACCTTAACTCCTCGTTCATGTGTTTTCACTAGTGGGCTTAAAAAGCAAATTCGCTTGTGTAAGTAATTCTAGGTATCCCTTTTTGAACATTGATGGTAAGGTATGGGTATACTTCCCAGTCTTTCGATCTTGCTCTGGTATTCCGTGTTTTAACCTTTATTGAAGATTTGAGTTGAGAGTTGACTTTGCTATTCCCTGCTTTCCTATGTTTAGCTTTTCACTTGTTCTTCTATTGTGTGAAATACTTTTACTTTTTTACCTTTCTTCATCCTTTCCCTGCTTTTTTTGTTTTGCTGCTGACGTGACTTCTATTATTTTGATTCGTTGTAGGTACTTTTCACAACTACCTCTTTTTATCGCCCAAAAGTGCCGCTTTGTTTCCTGTTGTTACCTACGTATTGTACCTATTTATTCCGCAAACTTTTGCCGTTTGTATTAAATATATAGTCATTGTCCTTAAACTCTATCCTTCTCCCTTTTGACCCTTTTCCATAGAGGAAAGGGTGCAAATATGGGCTGGTCTTGTAATATGGGCTAGATACGTTTCTCAGCTATTCGATGCAGATTTCTTCATCTGACTATTGCAAACGGTAATTGGTGAAGTAAAATTGTCACCGTAGCGATGGCGCCACAGTGGTAGATGTTTCACACTTTATAATAAATGTTTGTCAGTTACTGTGAGTGTCAAAACTTTTTCGGGTAAGTTTATAAATTCTAGTACTTGAAAATAAACAATAATGTCAAAAAAACGTCTGCGTCACATTGAAGCCCTATAATCAGCCTTTGATGTATGCTAATTAGTTTTCTTCAAATTGACAACTTTTAAAAATAACCTCGTTTGTTGTGTAGCGCGAGCATGTTTGCAATATGGGCTATGCTTCGGTTTTGATTATGGGCTAGTGGCCCATATTTAGATACATGTAAAATGCACTTGAATTACTTCAGGATGTCAAGACAAGAGCTGAAAGAAGCGAAAAAAAGAAAACAATGGGATGAAAAAGATATGGAACGTGCGATAATAGCTGTCAGGCAGCATGAAATGGGTACGCTAAAAGTGTTCAGTAATAACCGCTTCACCGTACAAAAATGAATTGATCCAGTCGCTCAACAAAGTCAAAGGGAAACAAAAAGGTACAGAAGAAGACAAAGAAAACAGAAAAGGAAAAGGAATAAAAAAAGGAAAACATAAGCAAGTTACAAAAGCCACAAAGAACAAAAAGAAGGAATCTGATTCTAGTACCGAGGAAGAGGAGGAATATGTGCCTGCAGATGATGATAGTGATTACAATGAGTTTCCTAATACCCAGTCTCCACAAGACGCAGCTGACGTGACCTGTATGTTTTGCGAAGCACCTTTTGCAGATGATAACCAGGGTGAGATATGGATCAAGTGCCTCATGTGCAATTTGTGGGCCCATAACGAGTGCGCTGGGGCCGAAACAGACGAGTATGTTTGTGATTTTTGTAAGTAATGTTTTCCTAAATAAAAAAAAATAAAAATCTCTTTTTCACACATTTATTACGCATTTTTCGGGGTAGCCCATATTTAGGACCATTATTCAAAAGTCGCAAAAATTCAATTTTTCATTATTTTCGCATTAGTGAATATTTATTTTTCTTTAATCAATCTGCACTTAGGATATGTTGTAACTAATTAATATAGTTATCCTTAGGTACCTTTGGAATTAAAATAGAATGTTTATTTTTTTTTTTATAAGCAAAAATAAAATGGGTAGCCCATATTTGCATCCTTTCCTCTATTATTATCTCCTTATTATACCCCATCTTACCCATCTATTTGTGACCCACTGATTACAATTCTTCCTTCTTTCCTTCTCTATTGTCTACATGAGATCTTTTTTGTTGTAATGCATTTTTCTCTTTGGTTATTTGAGGTTGCATTTGCCATTCTCAGGAATTTACTATTTTATCTTCGTCCTTCTTTGATGTTTTTATTGGCGATTTTTACGCCCTCTATCCCTTTTATCCTAGTTCTAAAATACCTACTATAATTTGGTTGGTTGGTACATAATAAAATCGCAAAATTAGAAACACTATTTTACTTCACATTTACAAATTAAAATATAATTACATTTTACATTATTTAACAGCTAGTAACATTTGTTCACTTTTAGTATTAATAAATATTTACACTGCAGTTCTTTGTATTTATCATAAATCTGTAACAAAAAATTTGCTAGGTATGTTATTAGTGATTTGTAAGGAACTTACTCATAGTTTCCTGTTGAATTTCAACTTTGTACGTTGGGTTATCATAGGCAGACTGTGTAACTCTCGGAGGAGATGTAATAGCCGCCTTATTTTGGTTGTGTCGCTTAACTAATATTAACAAAAGTATTAGTGTGCTTATAATTGCTATTGCAGCTAATATCGCCACAATGACTAGGGGCCCGTAGTAATCTCCTTTGTGAGGAGATAATTCTTCAGATTCCAATTTTCCTAGAAGAGAGATAAATAAATGGCATCAAATATGTTAGGTTTACCTTGCTGGGTTGACGCACTTAGGGTGGGGGCAGACCTTGGTTTCGTTACGAAGTCTTGTACATTACTGGTTTTTATCCGCCCATTTGTCAGGTATATTTCTAACCAAAGTCTGTAGCGGATTCCAGGTTTTAGGTCCATAATAGTAGCCTTTGGAGGTGAATCGCGCTTCGCCATCTTAAATGTGCTGAAATCTCCTTTACCTGAATCACTTTGATAAATGGCACGATAAATATTAACGTATTTATCTTCTGGGTAGGGTACGCCAGACCAAGTGATTTCTACACTTGTCGATTTTACTAAACCGACTTCCAATGTTACATTAAATCCATAGCTATCCAATTCGTTTGCAGTTGTAAAATGGATCATATTTTCAGAGTGCAGTTCGGTGAGTTGTCCCGGGAAGGGAATAAAGAAAATTCCGGCTTCGTATTTGGTTGTCGGTTTTAAATTCTCTAACATGTAACTGGTTACAGCTCGGTGAATTAAGGGGGTCGCCGCGTAAATTTTCCCGTCTATTTCCCGGTAGCGTATCTGAACACCGTCGACGAATTGAAGTTCCTTATCCGAGAATTTTCTCCAGGCTATGTTTACCCATGTAGAATTTACATCAGTCACCACCAAATTGGGCTCGATGGGTATGGAAGGTGGTAAAGTGGGCGGGGCGTCCTGCAACGTTCGTACTGTGTATACACGGCTAGATGGCGTATTATGCAAGTCTCTCAAGGTCACGATTATTTTCAATTTATATTCGGTGTCTTCTTTTAACCCAGTAAGATCTACTTCCAGTTGTGCCGTTTCGATTAGATCATTTGGTGGTGAAAATACTTGCGACTGCCAAGTGTTTGGATCGTTATTGCTACAATAGATCATTAATATCGAATGGAAATGTGGAAGATATTTACTCTTTCGACGTGTATCGAATGTCTATTCGTCCATGTAATCCCACTATTATGGATGGAACCGAAAATCCTAACCTAATCGTATGCGCATCTACAGCCTCTAACGTATGTATGTTAACCTCATCTTGAGGCTGTTGGAATCCTGGTGGCACATTATAATATCCTCCTGGGAAGATTTGGCCGTTATTAATCCCTAATAGAAAAAGGCGAGTACATATATAAAGTTACGTATGGTAAGGTCTTCTAACCAACCTGGTTGTGACAAATTTTGTTGTGTTGGAATACCTAAACCGTTCGGTGATGTCATTAGTAGGTGCCCATTGGACGGGGGAGATTGAGCAAAAGGTAAAAACGGCTGTGGGTGCTTATGTATCTGTTGCAATATGTTTTCAACATTTAACTGAGGATTTAAATTAATTCCCAGATGTTGTGGACTATGTGGATAGGAAATGGCCGGGTTGTTTGCATGTGGAATATCATGAACTTCAAAAACGGATCCGGATGGATAATTATTAATTAATTCCGGGTGGTCGTTAATGAATTGCAATAGTTCATCCGGATCTCCTTTTCCGTGCACGGCAATGTGAGGTGTAACTGGTGTGGTTTGTGGATGTTGTGGTATGAAGGGGGTTGGTAAAAATGCATTTGGTGGTTCACGTTTCGGTGTAACCGAGGTCTTGCTAGGTTTATTTTTGTTTAAATGTTTAGATTCATTATGTGATCCAAGCAATGGCAGATCTTTCAAACTGCCACCGCCATGTTCTTTCTTTTTGACTGGTTCGTAATGTTTGTCATTTACTGCACCATGATTTTTCATACCGTGATCGTATTCCTTTTTGTACTCTTTAGTGTAATATGGATTTTCATCTACCGTTATATTGGGCAAAATATTAAGGTCAGGATTTGTATTAGAGTCTTTGTTTGTATATACAACTAGTGGGCCTAATATTTTTGAGGGTGAATGGTCGGGGATTAAATTAAGGGGATCAGAAGGCGTTGTTAATTCTGGATTCTGAAATTCGCCTTCGTGCTCTTCCACAGATTCGTTATACTTAGTTCCTGCAATACAAAGGTTTCACTCTATGTGCAAGTAACACCAAAGACCTCTATGTACAGTTAGTTAATTTGTTACCCATACATTTTATTTGCATACAACCAGGTTAATTAAAAGCTAAATACAAACAAAAATGCGTTCGGGATCAACAGTTTATGTAGGAATATGAAAGGCGTTCTTGCTACTTTGCTGGTTTGTATTGTATGTTAGGTAAGTACAGTTTAAAGATGGCTAGTTGTATTTAGGTATGCAGGCCCAAGAATGTAAACCCTCTTTTCCAACGTGAAGAAGCATTGGGATTTTGGAGTGGAAAAAAACGGAGAGACCTGCCAAAGTGACGGCAGATAATATTATGTGATAATTGATAATTGTAATTTAGATTAGCCGAATGTGTTTTAGGTATTGAATTATAGTTATTTACATAATAAGTCATGAAAGTGGTCGTTTACATAACGCGGAGGCTTATTGAAAAGTACGAGGTACGCTGAGTATCTCTTTAATGCCTCCAAGTCAGGCGGACTCACTTTCATGAAGTATTATGTATGAAATTTTTTATTATACTTCATTGAAATCACCTTATTTACACCTGTATTAGAAATAATGGTATCTGGCCTTTTCCAGGCTAGGGCACGGAAAAACCTTTTTGTACTCATTGAATGGAAAGATAATGTTTCCAAGCATCCTCGATGCACGGGAAAACGACTTTCCCGCATCGCGGTGTTTTTTAGTTTCCGCTGGAGAGAAGGGGTTATGCGCGTTCTTCGGTTGGTAGTACTTATTGAAGTCAACGAACGTCATGTCATGGTTAACTGTCATCTGCTGTAAAATCAATTAAACCGTTGGTTGAGGGTATTTAGTGCGATTAATCGGAAACAGACGTACACTAAGTTTTACGTAAATATATAAACAAGAACTTATAACGCAATCAAATTATTTTTCAGAATTGGAACTCAAGAAAAAGTAAAATTTATTGTTAAAACGTCTTAAAATGTGACCTGTGATATTCTGCAACTATTCGCATATGCAGGATTTTAAATGTAACGAGTGTATTTACGCAACTCAAGATAAATCAAATTTGAGAACACATTTCTTCACACATGTCTTCTGGGAATATTAAATACGATCAGTACACTTACGCGACCAATAAGAGCACTCTTTTCAAAGCATATTTCTTAACATTGAAGACTTCCAAGGATATTTAGTGCAAACGATGCAATGCCGTGACCAGTAGTAGCACTCATTGCAAAGGCAAAATATGTATTAACCAAAGATGTGAAAGTTTTAAATGTGACCAGTGCAATGGTAGTTACAAAATTATGTTACCAACCAAACATATGATTGTGTTACCAACTCATGATTAAAAAAAAACTAATTTACAAAACTTATTAATTTTGACCTTTTTTTACGCAATTCGTTACAAAAAATATTGTACCTAACTCTTTCGGAAAGAATTTTCCCGCATTCGCACTAAATGCAGCACTCCCTACGGTCGTGCTGCAAACAAAGTGCTCATGCGGGAAAATTAACTTACCGAACTTGTTAGGTAAATAACTATTCCCGGCGCCTTTGATTCTTTCCGTGCGCTGAATATAAATACCCAAAATATTGCTTTAAAATACAAATTTACAGGCAAGAAAACTAATTTTCAGAAAATCTATATGCGTTGTAATGTTTCATATGTAAGTATTTTGCGTTTTAATTCGTACCTAGATGTTTGAATATTTAGATAAACTTCTTTGAGAATTTGTGACATTTTTTGACGTTTCGTCAACTTTATCTAAAATAAACTAATTAAACAAATCGCCTTTGAGATGATTTGAGAGTAACCATGAAAACGCATTTTCTATAACTGTCAGAAAATAAAAATGTTAGCGAGTTTGTTGTTTTTTGTTATCGATTTAAAAGAAGTATAATAAAAAATATCGTTCATTACACGTCCAGAAATGCTTTTTCCGTGGTTGCATGACTTCCCGTGTTCGGATACGCCTCACACGGGAATTTGCCACGCGCGCACGGAAAAAGCCTGCTTTCCGGACTCCTAATGAAATATACTATTACCTGAAACCGCAACATGTAGATAACTTTTCCGAATTAAATTATTCATATTATGTGCGAAATTTTGATACCTAATCACGCATGCTAAAATCACTTTATTTAATTGTTTCCATAGAGATTTCAAATAAATTAAAACAATCAGTGTCATTTTTAATGCAGTTTGCAGTATATGCTTTGTACTTTTCAACTATACAGTCTTTATAACTATAGGTACCTACAAAAGCAGGTATCAGTGAAGAAGAGTACCTACGCGAGACGTTGTTATAATGAAGCCGAAGCTGCGGCCGCTGCAGTGCAATATTCGCTCCCCACAAAGTCAAGAAAGAGGTACGAAAGGGCGTACAAACCTTTTAATGACTGGCGCAAAACTTATTCAATGAACGATCTAATTGTTATTTTACATGTACTAGGACTGTAATGAGAGTCAGGCAAAAATATTACAGTACTAGTCAGGTCAAGATCAACTTTCTAATGTTAAAATAGCCCTGAAATTTAGATTTTCTTGATGGTTTCAGGTAAAACTTTAAAAGGGTGAAAATTAATTCAAATTATGTACTTCTCTTCTATGCATTTTAGAAAGCGTCTGTAAATTAAAAATAAAGAATTTTTTTCAGAAACTGTCAAATGTAATTTAGTTTATCTGAAACCGTGAAGAAAATCTAAATTTCAGGGCTATTTGGACATTAGAAAGTTTATCTTTACCTGACTAGTACTGTATTATTTTTGCCTGGCCCCCATTGCAGTCCTAGTACATGTAAAATAACAATTAGATCGTTCATTGAATAAGTTATTCAATCAACGATTGGATAATTATAATGCAGACTATGAGGTTATAGATATTTTTAAATATTAATATACCTACACAAAGGATAATGGTTTTTTAATTATTAACAATTAATGGAATATGTGTGGAAGTAATTATTCCTTTAGTTTTGCGCCAGTCATGAAAAGGTTTGTACGCCTTTTCGTACCTCCTTCTTGACTTTGTCGGGAGCGAATATTGCACTACGGCGGCCGCAGCTTCCGCTACACATTATAACAACGTCTCGCGTAGGTACCCTTCTTCACTGATACCTGCTTTTGTACCTAGTTATAAGACTGTATAGTTGAAAGTACAAAGCATAAACTGCAAGCTGCATTCAAAATGACACTGATGGTTTTAATTTATTTGAAATCTCTATGGAAACAATTAAATAAAGTGATTAGGTATCAAAATTTCACATATATGAATAATTTAATTTGGAAAAGTTATCTACATGATAATACGTCATGAAAGTGAGTTCACCTGACTTGGAGGCATTAAAGAGATACTCGGACGCGTCCTCGTACTTTTCAATAAGCCTCCGCGTCATGTAAACGACCACTTTCATGACTTATTATGTAAATAACTATTACGTAGAAGTACGTGACTTGAGGCCGACGAATACTAGTTTTAAGTTTTAACGGCCGCGACATATAATGTGTGGTTTTTTCAATATTAGTCATATCAAAAAAGATATTTAAAAAATACAATGTAATGTCGCTCAAATCGCACTTCATGTCAATCAGCCCTGTGACGTATCAGTGTCACTAACGTGCAGGTTATCTGTCAAAAACGTCATTTTGCGTATCGCAAAATAACGTTTGTGGGCAGATAACCTGCACGTTAAGTTTGACGTTTCTGATACATCACAGGGCTGATTATTTATTTACATAAACGTCAGGAAAATAACGCATTACTGGCGAGGAAATTTTGTAGTACGAGGCTCCATGAGGCCGAGTACGTTAATTTCCGAGTCAACTATTGTGATTTTACTGATGAATTATGTATTAAAGTTTACCCGAAATCGTATATTAATATAAAATTTCAATTCTTATATAGAACTTTTAATTAATGTCAATCTGTCAGTGTTAACAGGAGCCATTATAGAGAGTCTTGTTCTGGGCCATCAACAGGCTTTTTGCTCAATTACAGAGTGACCCGTATAATGCCTTTTAGTATTGTATGGTATTTACCTTATGAATTAGGAAAACCAAATTCGATAAGTAGCCAACAGAATGCTCGAAACTGATCTAAGGAAATTCCTATCTCTATCACAGATAAACAATTCTTACCTCAGCCCAGATTCGAACACCCGACCTTCCGACTATGTAGCCAATTCTACTAATAGTGCGTGTTGCTCTTTTTGGCACATGAGTAAGAGATGTAGGTATATATTTTGTTGTTTTTTAAATTTATTTCAATTTCAATTTTAACTTTATTTTTTTAATCTTAGTTTTTATTTCAATTTATTAAGTTTGTAATTTTTTTAATTTAATTTTATTTTATATTTTAAATTTGAAACTTAAACTACAACTTCAATTTCAATTTTTAGTAACAGTGTGCTAACACCAAAGAGTACATTATGGTTACTCTTTGCTAACACTGCTATAAAGCTCCGTAAAGTCCGAAAATCCGAAAGTCTTTTTTAGAGCATCATGAAAATCCTCATCTCCACTACGGAGTCATTTAATTTAATCCAAAATTACCCCCCTCCCCCCCAATGCTACACTTGGAAATAAAATGGATGATTGGATTGGATGTCCGCGTTCTATGGTTCACGGCGTAATGTCTGCGGTCTATTCCCTTTGCTGGTCAGTGTTAAGAATATGTACCTACCTATCAAGGTCTGCATTACATTGTACTTTCTACTTTCTGTAATGCGCATACAAAAATATCCACAGAATTATGTAAGAATCAATTAACAGGTTAATCGGCGATATACGCTAGTTAGGCAACTTTATAGTAGGGGAGCTAGCACGAAATCCACGAACGAGAATGATCAAAATTTTAACCGATTTATTAGGAATTATATTTCATTAAAACAAATTTAGGTAAGTACTTTTCCAGCAATGTAGCAAGATACAACTATTTACAGCGGCTAACATACAGGGTGACAATTTGAAAACTTACCACCCCCCATATCTTAGTAAATAAACGAGATATTTAAAAAAATCAAAATCCGTTTCGGTAATTCGGTGGGGGAATCACAATGACATAGTTGGCGACGCACCCCCTCCAACCCCCTGCGCCCCAGCCACCCCAACTTTTAAATCTTAAATAGTGACCCCCATGTGTGATACGTCGTTGGAAAGCTCTGAAAAAATGCTTTCCAACCATACCAAATAGCATTACATTTAGGTTAGTAATTATCGTGCAATCAAAAAATAAACTAATATGATACATTTGAAATCTGTCGTATTTAAAACGCAACCGGCGAACATAGACGAACTAAGACAGAGAATAATTCAAGAATGTCGAAATATTGCAAAACCAACATTTGAAAAGGTTCGACAAGAGTTTGAGAATAGATTATAACTGGCGATCAAAAATGAGTTGCTGTCAAGTCGGCTTTGGAAGTTGAAGTTAAATACGATTTTCCATGCTTATTTTTTGATTTGCACGATAATTACTAACCTAAATGTAATGCTATTTGGTATGGTTGGAAAGCATTTTTTCAGAGCTTTCCAACGACGTATCACACATGGGGGGTCACTATTTAAGATTTAAAAGTTGGGGTGGCTAGGGCGCAGGGGGTGTGAGGGGGTGCGTCGCCAACTATGTCATTGTGATTCCCCCTTCCGAATTACCGAAACGGATTTTGATTTTTTTAAATATCTCGTTTATTTACTAAGATATGGGGGGTGGTAAGTTTTCAAATTGTCACCCTGTATTTTTCAGCTTATGAACAACGATCTTACCTTGCATATGATCACCACGTCCGCAAGTCCAATACATACAGCAGTCATCATCCGGTAAGTGAGTTAGCTGGGCGAGTTGTGGGGGACATCCCAAATTGTGGGGCGGTAATGCAGGAACTGGTGGGCAAACATTTTGACATTCAACATTCCCCATTTCACAATAACAACGCTTTTCGCAGCCCGTAATATTCGTTGGAACTTGTTGCCAATTGTTGTACATTTCCCCCTTATAGAGACAGCTTCCGTTATTTTTGCACACCACAGACTTCGGACAGCAATCTGGGGGCGAGGGAACAAAATTCGGCGGTTCGGATTCCCACTCTATGCAATTCGGATTAATTACGTCTACGCCAAAATATGTCGGGCACTCCATTGTGAGGCATTGAACGCCACTCTCGCGACAAACACAAAGGGATGTGCAATTGTCATTGTATTCTTCATTAAGCTTGAGGTTGTGGCCTTTGTATTCGCAATTTAACGTGTTTGGTATTTCAAATATGTCATTGTGATTTTTCAATCTAATGTATTTTGAATTTTTTGCGTTAGCCATTCCGTTTGTGGACAATTGGAGTGGAATCCAAACGCTTTTGTTTAAACTGCCCTCCACAGCAATAGTACTATAATTCTTCCTAGAATCGGGTTCAAAATCTATTTTGATAGTAGTACTATTTATTGGTTTTACTGCAATAATTTTGATTTTTGGTTCGTCTACATCTTTTTCCGGTTCGTGATCATTCAGTGTTACATCACAAAGTACCTTTTTGCAACAGTGATCAGCGGGATCCGGAACTTCCACACAGTGATCAGAATTCTTACCAACACCTTTGCATCTAGTGAAGAAACCCAAATTAGCGATGTTCAAAAAATACCTACATCTACCTTGGTTCACATGTGACGTTTCCTGCAGAATGGCATGTACAAAGAGAATCACAACCATCTTCAATTCTTTCGCCTTTTTGATACATTCTACTCTTGTATGTACAGGTTTTTTGTGAGTGACTTACTGAAAGAATACCATTCACATTTTGGTACGAGATTAAATCAAATTACCTTTATCTTTGTCGCACATCAAACTTGCGCAACAGGGATCGTCGACCGGTTTCTCTACGCACATGGGATCATTCTCTTTTGCACCTTTTTTGACCAAGGGTGTCAAGCACCTGCCCGTACAGCTCATTTTTCCATTTGTACAGGTACATATGGAATCACAGCCGTTTTCTAATTTTTCTCCATTGTCATACGTTAAACCATTGAGTGTGCAAAAAGTGCCTGTACGAATGTTTAACATAAAGAATTAACTAGAATTCACTTAAGGTGTAGTCATACCAACTTTAACTTTTTCCGGATTCTTGGGCATTATTTCCATTTGGTCATCTTCGTCGTCCATACTAACGTCGCTCAAATCAAACGTCTTGCCCGACGATTTTCCCATCAGCTGATTATCTTTGCTATGATCGTGAAGGCTAAAATTTAACGATCGCCCTTTATGGTGGTCTGCGGTACTACTCCTTGTTGTAGCTTCGTTAGATTCGCTAACTGTTGTTGGCAGGGATTCATTTCGGGTTAATTTGTGTAAATAATGTTCTTCGTGGTCTTCTGTCATCATACTCATTGATGATGGTTTCGGTAAAGGTTGTGCTGTGTACGTGACTATTTCGGCTTCTTCTAAGTGATCTGAAATGAAAAAAATATGCAAATTAGTGGCTAGCATAAAAAAATAAGAAAAATGTTTACAAAAAAAAAACAGATTTGAGTCCATAGTGTAAAGCGATAATCGATCGCATTTACAGACCAGTTGCAGACGATTGAAGTTTACTTAGTCAGAAGTATATAACACATTACACATAGACTACAATTACGAGAGCTGACGTGTGGTATATGTTTGGAAAGAACTTCTAACGAAATTTAAAACGCCCTTTGCAGAGAAAAAAAAAGAAAAAAGGAAAAAACCTGGGAAAAAAGGTTTTCGCCTTAAGGCGAGTAACTGTAGCGTCCGAAAGGTCATAAAACGCACTATGTGTATGTACGAAAATAAGTGAAACTCCTCGTCTTCCTACAAGCGTGAAGCGTTCTTGTACGGGCTCGCATTTGCTGGCAGCCAGGCAGCCAGTCGACCAGAGTGAGATTAAACGCTACCTTTTTACAAATAAATTTGCAAAAATGCCGTTTTATGGGAATTGTTTCAGATTGTGCATACGTAGGTCTCTAGTGATGCCATGTAACATTGGGGGGGGTTAAACACACGTTTTACCCTTCATGGTATTCTAATGAAAGGTCTCACTGAAAGGAACTGTTTTCAAGCAACATACCGCCTTTCTCTCTTACCCTTTATCAAAATTGAGGCAGTGGGGAGGCACTGGTTACTCTAATGAAAGGTCTCGATGAAAGAAATTAATTTCTACCAACCATACTCCTTCTCCTCGACTCCTTATCGTGATCGGTTATAATTCTTTATATGTCAAAGGAGCGCACTCACACAGGGCGATTGGGACATCTGGAATAAATATATCCATTGATTATGTCAACACTTTAAAAGCGAAAATCTAGAAAACGGTCTTCTAGCAAGAAGGTAAAATCGATAAATATAGCATGCTACTACCCTCTCTACTACCTTATGGCTTATAACCTAATTATTAAGGATCCTCACGTCCTTTATAGTTTTGTATTGTATTGTCCGTTCGTCCGTCCGTCCGTCCGTCCGTGTGCGCTCCAACTCTTTTTAAAAGTGGCCGATTGCGTTGAAATTTGGTGTACGGGTACTTTGGACATTAAACGGACGCTATTGATTTTCAGGAAGCTGCTTCAACACTAACAAAAGTTATACGACTTCGAGTGAATCGGGAACAGGAAAATGTCCGGGCTCAATATAACAGAAATCAAGATATTTTATTCCCTAGGTCATGTATCGAGTTCGGACAATCGCTAGATTATTCCCTATGACCCTCAGATGTAATAATTCAATATAGCTCTTCTCTGTGGTATAGGTCGAAAGTTTTAGAGAAAAATGTAGCCAAAATTATATTTTATACATGAATTTAGAGTTTTAAAAGGTTTCAAACGCATTATCTTGATGCTGAAAGAGTACATCACGTGCACATTTGATAACCGCATGTGTGTGATTCAAAGACGTTAAATTATTTTTCTGAGGCCACATGGATTTTGATCAAAATAAGTCAAAACCCTTATTTATGCACCAAGATCGTTGAGAAAAAGATCCAATAGCATTATCTCAATGACCAAAACATGAATTTGATCTATTTTTGGCGACCACGTGAATTTTGATTAAAACATATCAAAATCGTTATTTATGCACCAAGAACGTTGGGAAAAAGACCAAGAGCATTATCTCAATGATCAAAACATGAATTTGATCTATTTTTGGCGACCACATGAATTTTGATCAAAACATGTCAAAATCGTTATTTATGCACTAAGATCATTGGAAATAAGATTAAGAGAATTATCTCAATGCTCAAGACATGAATTTGATGTATTTTTTTTAGTATCAATTGATTTTATTTAAATATTATATAAAATATTTCGAACATTTAAAAAAGGTTTAAAGATTTAAGAGAGGAAGAAAATTTTTAATTGTAAGGTAGATGCAGGTAATATGGCCATGTACAGCAATATGGCCAGGGCATAGTATTTCAATAATTTGGGCACTTGAACCATAGGTGTCAGTAGGTATCCTTAAAAATGATAAGTATATGATAGAAACACATGCATGGTGGCGCTTTTTGTCAATTGTCTGTTGTTACATGAGCACTTGTAATAAAATATTTTGGCGGGACCTGTGCGTATAAGATCTTCGCTCGTTACTAGAGGTGAAAAAATTAAAACAGGTAAGTTCCTAATTTTTTGTTATTTATTACATTTCATATTCAGACCTTTTAGAAAGTATCGGTATACTTGCTTTAATTCTATATTTGTGTTTATTCCATTATTATAATAAAAACAAAATTATAGGTTATGTCTAGCAATATGGCCACTTGACATGTAGAGTAATATGGCCATGGCCATATTACTCTACATTCTTTGTGTGTGTGTTTGGAATAATGTTGCATTCATTTATAGCATGCCACGCCGTCTGTGTATGGGGTTGCGGGGTATGTGGAGCAAAGTCTAGACAAGCAAAAATCAAGGAATCGTGGTATTGCAAGTTATGCCAGGAAGATAGAGTTTCCGATATGAGGGTATGCGTCGCTTGCAACGTGTATATGCATGAAGAATGTCTTGGCCTTACAGCTAAAGATAAAATACCAAATTTTTTTGTCCTGAATGTGACCAAAATACCTAATAAAAATTCGTTTGTTTGAGATTTTTTGCTTTTTGTTATGAAAATATCGTCTATAATGTGATATAGCATACGAATTAGACCATGGCCATATTGCCAACACCCTGTCGGTAATATGGCCAAGTGCCATTTTTTTTTCAGAATTGTTAAACTTTCTCGATATTTCGTTGTATCGGTTTATTTACTAAACATTGTGTCACGGTTTCAGGCAGTCAAGTTTGCTATAATTGCTAAACGCACAGAATTCGATTACATTGTCGATCAAATGCTTTTGCTGATAGGGCGCAGGTTGATGATTCATGTGGGCGCGTGATGCGTAGGTTACCCTTAAACTTAGATTATGGCATGAAAGACCATTGATAACAATGTAAACCATTCGTTGGATAATTATTCAGGGGCAAACACCTGAGCCTCGGTTCTGACGTAGAAACCAATAATTTTGGAAGACCATGAGTCTATTCTTCAGTGCCCTTCTTTCTAGCGTTTAGTAAAACTTTGGCCACAGTGCTATACCCCTATACCTTAAAATTCACCACCGTACCTAATACATAATGCAAACCTCATACATAATTATTATTGTTAATGCATTAAATTCAACTTATTTGAAATAACCAGTTTTGCGTGTAGTAAATTGGATATCTGGAACATGACCTTGCACTCCCAAGCGTGGTTATAAACCTAGATAAGTAAATCAACAATTAGAGCAACATAATTAATAATTTCGTACTTCGTTTGTTTTACAGCATAAGGTTAGCTGTCTTGATTAAGGTGGCGTTTACATTGAAAAATTGGAAATTTGTTTCCACAATAATTGCATTCTGGGTACAAATTTTACATTTGCATGAAACAAAAATTATTTAGCTAATTCCTGTACTTTCGCCTTTATTTTGGAAATAAGTTGTTAAAAAATTCCCATATAAAATATATATCTTTCATTTTTATCATACACTGATAATAATTTGTTATCAAATTTAACTTCATTCACAAAATGCTACACTTGAATATAAAATGGATGATTGGGTTGGATGTCTGTGTTCTAATGTCGGCGTCCCATTGTCCGCGTCCTATGGGTCACTGCCTAATGTCTGTGGTCTATTCCCTTTGCGGTTCAGTGTTAAGAATATGTATCTACCTATCAAGGTCTGCATTAAATTGTACTTTCTACTTTCTGTAATGCGCATACAAAAAATATCCACAGAATTATGTAAGAATTTAGGAATTATATTCCATTAAAAAAATTTAGGTAAGTACTTTTCCAGCAATGTAGCAAGATACAACTATTTACAGCGGCTAACATTTTTCAGCTTAAGAACAACGATCTTACCTTGCATATGATCACCACGTCCGCAAGTCCAGTACATACAGCAGTCATCATCCGGTAAGTGAGTTAGCTGGGTGAGTTGTGGGGGACATTCCAAATTGTGGGGCGGTAATGCAGGAACTATCGAATTATCGATTCGCCGCTACCCGTTTCATCGCGGCTTTTTCGCCGCCAAAATTATTATATTGGGTTCAGCTTTCAATACCACTTACATGCTATCTCACATTACAAATCACATTCATGTACCTAACCAATTTTGAACCCCGTTGTCAGTAATATGAAAATACTCATTAGAACCCTTATTATGCGCCCATCAATACGGATTCGACAGTCGATAATTGATAATGGATTTAGATTCTTTCATGTTTTTTTTTCTGACAAAATATGCGGACTGAGTAAAATTCAAAAGGGTTGTGATATGGAACAATTTATGGAGGGTCAAGCCCCCCCTCCGAAACTATGGAAAACAGTCTACACTCACTTTATTATGCAGGGTGGCACAACGAAAAGGAAACAGACTGAATAACTCGTAAGGAAATTGTTTTTGGAAAAAAACGCAAAATCAGGTCGATTTTGGTTGGAAGGGGGACATTTTTTACTTAACAATTTACAAACCTGACGTCTACCCCCTAAGCAAGGGTGCCATCCCTTCAATAATTTTTAATTGAACGATGGGTCGAGTGCCACATTATTAGAAAGGGTTCGTAATGTCCTAACGCGCCTATGGTTTAGTTTTTAAAGTCTAGCGAGTGCTGGAAGGGTACATGGTGTCAAATGAGGTATTCTTGGCAACTATGAAGATTAAATGACTAAGAGCAGGCTTACTACGTTACCGTTAAATCTACCTGACAGTTAATTTCCATGGTAACAAGCATATAGGTGGTTATCCAAGAGATAAGTGTAACTGAAACAAGAAGGATCGGCTCTAGATAAGTGTAATCTTGTATGTGCATCTGTCTGTTTAGTTTTAAAGTACGCAGATTCATTGCTTTGACAACTTTCCAAGTTGTATTTGATTTCTAGCAAAATGTGTGTTTTTTTAATAGCGTCTCCGTGAATTGCACTAACAAAACAAAATACGGATGGTTTCTTAATTTATACGGTACTAACAAGTAACAATAGTAATTAAGGGGCAATGGCACGTATGACATAATCCAACTTTTATTGTTTCCATTGAATGATCCCACATCTAAATTGACGTGCAGTAAACCATGTTTTGGTGAAATGGAAAGGCTATAAATGAAGCTATCAAAATCGTTGTAAAAGCGGAAATTTATTGTTATTTAAAATACTGCGGTATTAATAAGCATGGACTACATGTCCAGCAGCATGCATAAAAAAGTGTACCGGCTATTGTTTCGTTTTAAGGGAATTTTTTTTAAAAGTACAATCCATGCCAACGAACTTTATTCAAGTAGTCAATCAAATGAACCTTTAATGGTAAACTGCACCCATAGAAGTACCTATATTTTTTAATATTCGTTGTGAATATTACTTTTTTATTTGGCAGGTGGCTTGAAGAGGTTGATGAAAAATAATCTTAAATCAGGTCATCGAACGAATGTAATGGTATGTTTGTAAATACTGAAGCGAAACTTAGAACAGGATTTATTTTGCGTTCGTATATGGTAGACTTGCTTTATTAGACGAGGTATAAACTTTAATGGCGTTTATTAAATGGTAGAGAGAAGTACCTATAGTTTTTGTAACATAATCATGGATAAACTCTAACTGCCTTTTTAGTTTATAGTAGAAAGTTGCCGTCAACGGTAAATACGAGAGTCGTGATATACGCAACACTGAAGAGTCATTGCTATGATGACTGTATTGAGAATAAGGATGAAGGATGTAATTATTTGCCAAAGATCAAGTTTGCGCAAGATCTAAATATCCTCGAGGTTTTTTTTATGACGTTTCATTTATATTAAGTACCCTCTTCTAAATTGAAGCATTATACCGGGTGGTGCCTAGCGCGACTCAGAATAGGGATTTCAATGGTAATTTCTTTATAGCCAATTACTAGCTCCACTAATTATTTTATAGCAAAAGTCTAAATACGTTTATTTCAGAAAAAAAATACTGCATCTGTTCATACGGTCACTTATAATTTTTCGTTTTTCAAAACCGTAGAAATCCACAAAATAAAAAATTACATTTTTATAAATCAGTGATGCTTTGGAATGGCACCACCCTGTAGATGATGAAAGTAGTAATTTCTTGCTGGTAACATTGAATTCAATTCTGGTAGTAAATAGGTAGGTACAATACCATGGGTAGGTACCTACACAGGTTTTTAATTAGATACAAAACCATTGATTGTGATTTGTGATTTTGATAACAAAAGAAAAATTACAAAAAAACACCCCCATTTCTATGGAAGGATAGCGCCATGCCCAGCTACCCCCATTTTAAAATTATAATATGCCGTCTCTATCGAAAGAGAGTAACACATCATTTTAAAGGTCTTTCCAAAAATACACACGAAATCAAATTGGGATGGTACAAATTAAAATAATGAATTGAAAACAATTCACGTTCGATGTGCGCATATAGTAACTGCCCCGGTAAGAATATCTGGCGTAAGTATGACATGGAGTTGGTACGTAAGTTTCAGGGACAAGGAATCAGGGAGTAATTAAAAAAAGTTTTTGATGAAGTTGTAACGGGAGCCCGTTCGCTTATCTTGATTGTTTATTATTTTTTTAGAGATTAGATTGATATTCCGTGGTGTGATCTTCATAAATTTACCCGTATAGGGGTGGAAATAACCCTACGACAGAGGGCCGTCAGGGGCGACTAAACACGTCAGCCGCAACTCTAGCGCTTGAGTTGGAGGGCGAATGATATTTGTGGATTGATGGGACTTCTATTTTTACCAATTGCTTCTTTTCCGATTGTTGCGATTTTAAGCAATAGTAGTCTTACAAATCGTAGTACCTATACCTAATAGGAGACAAAGTCGGGGACTACTTTCAAGATTTGGAACCGTGTTGTATGGGGATTCGGGCGATATTTAAGGGTTTTTGTGTAGAAGACCAGTAAGAATCAGCGTGCGGGTGGTTCCTGCTCCAACACTTCTTGTATGGGTATCTGGAGAAGTGGCGCCCATAAGTACAGCTTTTTGTTTGCAATGTCAGTGGGGTTAATCCCAACGCGCTACATTTATTTTTATCAGTTTGGTAGTCAAAGTGTGGCAAGGTAAGGTTTCATCCAGTAGGGTCCGGAGTTGAATTTGTTTTTCAATCAATATAAAGGATAGTTTCATAATTTGGTAGGATTTCGTAAATTTTTTGGTTGTGGTACGTGAGCGAGTGAGCCTTGATTGCGATCCTGACTTTGTAAATGCGTTTGAAAACTCAAGGCACCAGTGAATCGTGGGAAATGGCGTGAATGGTTCAGTAGGAAGAAAAGAAATGTTTTTTCAGTCATTATTAGTAACATCAGCAGGAAATTTATTCCACGTTGAGTTGATTTCTGCGTGTCCTGGAATCTGATTGGTAGTATAAAGTTATTTTATTGGTGAAAAACGTTTGCGTCACTGAGAAAACCGTCAGGGAATTTGCGCAAGTGCAACCAACTGCATGTAACCGTGGGGTGTGTTTTAATTCGCGCTTAAGTAAGCTACCTGTAAAATTCTCCGAATATTTAGTTTAGTTCATTTCTTTGTAATAGGTACACAAACATAACAGCGGTGTCAGAGGTGGGATACATAAAAACAACAACAAAGATAAACATGAGCTATCAGCGGAACTTCTTCAAACACTTTCGGGTATGATCGCTGCCACTATCCGTGATTCTACAAGGTAACTTCTTACCAGGAATGACAGAACATCATCTCCTTAACCCCGGCACCCATAGTTCTCGATGCCACCGTATCGTGCTGGCGACGACATCACTATTGGGGACTATTTCACGCGATTTACTTGGGCACGTTGCTTGAGTTTCACCGCCCATCCTCTCGAGAGCACGTGATGTTTCTGTAGTCCTACGAGCAGCTTATGCTAAGGAAATCGACCCCAAAGTCGCATCGGGATTCTACAAGAAGGTACTACGAGTGGGCGTCGTCACCTGGATGTCACAGACGCATACACTGGTCTCGAGGTTGACGTCGACGATGAATTCAGCTACGCCTTGACGCACATACAGTGAATTTTTTTTAAATGCGAACATAGGAGTTTGTATGCAATGTAATTTCCCTATGTTCGATTTTAAAAAAACACATCAATCTATTGATTAGTTCAAATGAGTAGTAGATACAACTGACAGCTGTCACATTTTTAAAAATACCGCCGTCCAATTTAATTACGAAATCGGTTAGATTATTGCTTAGAATGTCAAGGAGGACATTTCGAACATTTATTGTAATTTTTTTCGTTATTTATTTGCTTATTTTCTTCATTTATGTATTGAATAAATCAAATTAGTAGAATACCAGGTGCACATGACCTACAAATAATTGAAGGTTGGTTCACAATGAATTGTGATGTCAGCGCGTGCTATGTCAAGTAAAGTTATCGTAAAAATTTATCCTAAAGTTGCTATGGCCTCACATGGCTTATTTAACAAAATCTTACCGAGTGCTCTTCATCATAAAGACTATGAGTTGCTATTCATAGTCACACAAGTTCCGCGTTTTAGGAATGTGAACTGCGCACACTTCATAGATTGATGTGTTTTTTTAAAAATCGAACATAGGGAAATTACATTGCATGTAAACTCCTATGTTCGCATTAAAAAAAAAACTCACTGTATTTTAGCTGCAATTAGCAGTCCATGTACTCGTATGGTCTCAGGTTGGTCAAGGAATAATTCTTTTTCAGTTGATGTTTCAAAAAAACATAGAATTGTTAGAATTGTAAAATAAAAACGATTATGTGTATGTGAAATATTTCACGTTGTTACTATTCAAATACGAATAAATGCAATTTAAATTGACTAGTGCCCTCTATCTGCACTATTATTAAAATGAACACGTTACAAGATGTTTTAATTATTTGGGCTAATTCAAAAATGTTTCAAGGCGAAAATTAAGCAACGTGCGTACGATACCCCTACAACCTGGTACTTACAGTCAATTAATTAATAGACAGGCGGTGTTCGGTGTTCCCGTACTCAATTATAGCACTGTACCTATCCCTATAGGTGCAGCGTAAAGAAGTAGAAAAGCATTTGCGACACCGCAATTACTTGTTAAAGTTCCATGCATTCGATAATCCGTCAAAAATCCAATTAGGAAGAGAAGGATGCAAACTCCCACACAAATGTTTAAAGATTGCACATGTACATACTTAGGTACATGTATATGACGTAATTATAGCGTAACTTTTTGTTAACCCCAGAAGTAGGTATAGTCACTGACAGAATTAACAACCCTCGAATATCTTAATTGTACCTACTAAAGCCCGTTTGTAACGATCACTTATTTAGTCAAATTTTTAGTCCTTTTTTTCTTCAATAAAGATAATGCTATCCTAAAAATGTCATAAATGATGAAACTGTATGTAACATTCCATAATATTGTCATTTTTTTAGTACCAGTAAAATGTAAACATTTGTATATAATCTATGTTATATCAAATCTGAAGACTAAATATATATCTTCTGTAAACTAAAGGTGTCTATCTACTGTCAACGTATTATAGTGAGCTTTAAAAATGAATATACATTTAATTTTAATTTTACAAATTCTCTATAATCTGTCAAGTTACTAAAAAATTGAGGGAAAATAGGACAGGTTCTAAACATTAAAAAAATAGGACAACTTTCAGTTCCTAAAATAACTACCAAAAAATTGATCAAAGTTGATGTATGAAATGTTCAATTTTTTGTTCCTAAAATATTATTTAAAAATTGACTAAATAAGGGATCGTTACAAATGGGCTTTAGTAACCAGTTGCCAGCTACAGATCTTTAAATCCCGACAGTTAACAAGAAACCGGTATGCCGTGTATACTGATCACATTCGAGAACCATCAATTCTGTCAATGACTGTACCTATTTCTAATTAAGTCCTGCTCTTGCCATATTTTTAGCTCATACTTGTTTACCTATAACTTTAATAGAAAGAAAATCGTGACTGAGTGAGATAATAAATACAAAAAAAGTGAAGAGGATACCAACCTTAAAATGAAACTTGTTACCTAACAAAAGTACATAAATAACGTTACTATGGCACCTGTCAGAAGTTATTGCGTGTAGTGACTTTCTACGCCAGAAGGAGTATAGTCCCTTGGTATTTTGTACTAAATGTAAAAATTTAAAAGCAAGTTAGCTATGAGTATTTTTACCGAAGATGCAATTTCATCGCGGCCAATGAAATGTGAACAAGTTAAGAAAAAGAAAGATCATCCTCACCCACTAACCTTGTTTTCTATATTCTTACAACAGATTTATTTCACGATGTATGCATTTAGATAATGGGAATAAGTTCATCCTTTCATCTGTTAACTGGCTACGTTTAAGTGGTTTAAGTTTAATGGTTGCATGAAACAATTGATATAAATTTTGTTGTTTTATTTCTCTCAAAAAGATTTACTAATTTTCTCATCCTTTGTTTAGTTACATTTAATGTAAATTTACTTTCACGACACCTATTTATTAAAAAAATTGTTGCTCCATGAATTTTATTGTGTTTGTATATGAACCAGTGAACCACCTATCCCTTTTTAACAAGAAACGTTGCGATTTCATAAACCTAAAGAAATTTGTAACGATACGATAAATGTCACGAACAGAGAATTTTAGACACTTTTGTGTCAATGGGAAGATTAATTATCCAAATCATTAACTTTTTTTGACGTATGATCATTCTTGTAATAATGACCATTAATAATAATAATTATGACCATTAAATTTATATAATTAAACTAAGTGCCTAATTGCATAGTGAAATTCTAATAGTGTTCCGCAAAGTGAGTTGGGCACTTACGAATAATTGTATCTGGGACCGCACATAAACAATCTAAGAAAGGATATTAAAAACAATTTCTGCGACATCTTTTTTAAATATAAATATCTGGACTCAGATAAAACGTTGTACGTATACCACGATACCTTCAGTTGCCATTTACCCGCCTCAGATGTCTCAAAAAAATCCTTGGTATGTGAATATCTTAAAACCAGGCATTATAATTTCTGTAATTTTCGTTCTCCTGCCTGGTCTTAGGTATCGAAGATTGTTGTTGATTTATTTGTCTATTTATTTAGATTCGGTAGGTACATTTGCATAAGTAATGTCAAGTTTTTTGACGGTACACTACTCCTCGGCGATTCCTGAACTGGCAATAACCAAACCAGAGACGACTAACCAGCACTATTGCAAGCCGGAACCGATTGAATCGGCGGTCGGTCAGCCGGCTATCGACCAACCGGCACTTGCTTTGCCGGTTCTATGCCGTGCCGGCGCTTGTTCTACCGGGATCCATTGTTATGTGGTATACGCTATTCTAATTCTCTCTAAATATTGTACATTTCGTTAAATTAATTTTCATTATTGTTAAACTTATAAATTACTCAGTGTGTTTGTATAATGGTTTGGCAATATTTCATTTCGTAAAAACTTACCAGCAACTACTACAGTACTCGGTGAAGTTGTTTGGATGAATGTAATTCGTATTCACGCGTAGACTTAAGCGACGAAGAAGTTTAAGGCGTGAGCTTTGATTTCTGGGGTACTTACTCGATTGAGAGATCGATTATTGAACCACCACAATTGTCTGTTGATGTCCTTGACCTGAGGAAAGTTGAAGCCGCACACAGCAAGTATGTATTTGAATCGATTCAATCTGGGACGAAAACGTTAATCAAAATTTTGCATTTTCCCGTAAATAACTTCGTATACCAACAAATATGAACCTTGATCTAGGGGGATTTTCAACAAAGACGAAATCTGTGGAGATCGATGCCACGTCAAACTAATACGGACAAGAAGATATTGTGTTATTTTTTTTGCAGGAACTTTAGAAATAACAAAAAGGACATACATAACCAGAAACCTAAGTACATACAACTGTCATGGTTCCCGAGAAAAAAATTAGAGACGAAACGCAAATTCTGAGGGCGTGGCTTCCTCGCGAAACCTTTTAGACATTCGGTTTATTTGGAAAACATGTTTTTTTTAGTGCCTTCTACCGTCAACTTTTTTTGACATACTCAACACTCTGTATTTAACACATAAGGGGGAAAATTGATATCAGTAAAGTAGGTGGATATCGACGATCCTTATAAAAATATAATTATTCTGATTTCAAAAATAAAACAAGATAAAAGTGTACCCACATGTGCGAATGACTGTAGCACGTTTTGCTACGTAGATTAGTATTTTACCCCTAGGAATATTGGGAAGTGGTACTCAAACGTCCATTGCGCGTATCTGTGTACCCGCAAATTTCCCAAGGGAATTCGAAACTGTAGGCGGGTTTCCAATGAAATATCATGGATCTGCTGGATGGAGGATCACCATGGATTTTCGAAATTGTATTTTTATTCTTCCTAGCATAACGTTCAATGTCAATAGGTACATTAAGTTTCCATAGAAATTAAGTTTTAGATAGATTTATCTGATTTCTGGTTACAAAAATAAAAATTGTAAATAGTCGTACGCATAACCGAACTAGTAACTTGCTTTATTGTTGTTTATAAAGCAGTTGAAAAGAACAACATTAACGCAAGTCACTCGCATTCAATTTACTCAAATGTTCACACTTGTATGCCAAAACCCACCAACAATTAAGAATAAATTGCTTTGAGCAATTTTCGGATGCATTAAACTGTAAACTAGCTAGGCACGAATGAAATCTTAAGATCAAGGATACCTCGTATAGGTGCAGTAACGTTCCAATTTAAAATATTGAAATGAGTGAAGATTGCATTACCTAACCTATTTTGAAAGTCAAAATTGTATCAAGACTTAAGAGCTTTAACAGTTGTGTGTTTGGTTTCGTTTTACAACTTCCTTCATTAACCAAGTAACGAACTCACAATCAAGGTCGCAACGGTATTAAACTTGCTTATAGAATGCAAATTTAGATGTTTTCCTTGTTTAAATACGTAAAAGCATCATCATTTTCCTGAATTAGGTAGGTACCTCTACTTTATTGCTTCCAGAATGTAACTGTGTAAGGAAACTTGTACAAGAGGTGTCGGTCTCACGACATAGAGATTTAACTGGAGTGATAAGAAGGATGACTGAATTGGGATACTATTTTATGGCGAGGGACTAAATTACATATGCCTTACATGGTGCACTTCCGCCTTCCGATCAAAATGGCGGACAACATGCTTATAACGGGCATTCAATAATTCTGCAGGTCAGATTGCCTGTGTTTGGCACTTGTCAAAAAAACGCATGGCTTGTACAACTTTGTAATAGTTATTTGTTTTGAAAGTGATATTTTTTTTCACGAATTTGCAGTTTATTATTCATCTCTTGTTCTGGGCCCTCAACAGACTTGCGCCCAATTACAGATGGACCCGCATAATGCTTTTTAGAGGTGCCCCTGCGGAAGGTCTTAAGTTGTTCTATATTACTCTGGTATTCACCTTACGAATTAGGAAAACTGCACTCTGATTAATGAGGTCGGAACTCGTGTTATTCAAGCAAATAAATGAAAAAAAGACACTTTCAACACGTGTTGTACGCGAAATTTTTTTGCATAGTGATCCTTAATAACCCATAATTTAATAATATCATTGACATTCGCGATTTACTGTCATTCCAAAATTGATTGTTCAAAGACAGAACTAAAAGCCATGGAAACGCACAGTAAAAATCGTGAAAAAAAGTACCACTTTCCATACGATTTTTTGACAAAAAAGTCCAGGTAATTTGATAACTATGCAAAAAAATGATTACATTCCTGTTTTTAACTTGGTAAGTACTTTTCAAATTGTTGTGTATTTTTCAAATAAAAATTAGTTTCTTTTTCAAAACTTACAAGTGCTGACGTTGTGTTATTGTTCGCACATGCGTGATGTGTGATATTGACAGCTTACATCACAAAATACGAATTTGGTGCAAATGAATAGTACATTAAGAGACAAGTGCGTAATCAAGTCTTTAGTGCACGTACAACGAATTTAAAAACCAATTATACACATGTTTCTTCTAGTCATTTTTTAAAATTATACCTGCAATATAAGTAGTTACTTTACAAATAAGGAAAATGAAATCATATTGAACTTATACTCGAATACATTTCTAATTAAATTCGCTGTTTATTCGTAATTCCATGATTGGCATGGAAATGTGACTTGATGTTTGCTTATAAAAATCACCGTCTTTGTAAATAAAACGACTTTGGTCGAAAAAGCTAATACACGGTCCGTTCAAGGGCTTTTTATAAAAGCAGAAGAAAAATTGGTAAGTGTACAATCCAAATCCAGTAAAAAGCCTATTATAGAGAATATTAAAAGTTGTTTTCGTGGATGAGTAGTAACAAAGTCTTAAATGCATCGGTAATGCTGGTATATATGAAGAAAATGTCAAAGGTATTTCTTCTTTGGTGCATTCATTTAAAACTTCAAACAATGCAGCGATTAAAAAGTGAAACAGACTTGGCAGCATACCCTAAATTACACGCGTTTGTGTTAAAAAAAAATAGTTACAAGCCAAAGAAATCTTTTGCATTTACAGAAAGCGACCTAAGAAGATGTTTTTATTTTAGCCCCAGGTCACAGTTTCATATGTCATACCTCTCGTCATACCTACCCTACTTGCAGTATCTTTACTTAGCAATCTTTAAAGCACGTGTATTTTAAAGGTCTGATTTCGCAGGCAGTTGAGTGTGTATACAAAAAGTACGTTTTATTACTAAATATTGTTTACGGTGTCATATAGATGACTCCTCGGATGATCCCATTGGTTTAGAACTTTTCGGGAAAACTCCGAAAAAATGAAGAAAAATGTACTGAATCAAGTTTCTTCTTGTGGAGGGATTTTTTTAAATATCAAAAGAGCAGAACTAACTCTCTTGATGTTGCTACGATGTTTCTAAAATTTTAATGCCAATTAATCGCTTAAGTCAAACATGTGGGGGGAGGAGGGCAGAATTTCAAATATGAATTTCTGGAAAACGGAGTGCCTGAAGATGGTTCTTCAAAATTTAATACGAAGGTTGCCCCTATAGGAACTCTATTAATTGTGGACACAGCATCAAGAGATCTATGCGAAAAAGTATATTGCAGGCGATAAAACGATCGATTTATTTTAGGTACATCCACTAGACGAGACTTCCATGTTGGAATTAGTTCTCTCATGAAGTCGCCTTTGGCAGCGCACACGTTCTCAACTTGAATACCTCATACAGAAGGTTGGATGAGGCTAGTGATGTTGATGGAAATTTTACACTTTGTAACTTACAAAAATGACGGTAAAATTACAGGGAAATTTCAGAAACCCTATAAATTACTGAAATCTTTGAAATTTATGAAATTTATTAAGTTTCATAAATTACATAAATTACGGTAACTTACGTGAAATTTCATCAAGGTTAACGAGTTTCATTTTACCCCTCCCATTGCTTTTATTGGAATTATGTTGCATTGTGCTTACGGCTTACCGCGTGTCGCCTTGTGTAATTGTGCTGACTTTAGTTTTGCGTACCTATGCCTATGCGTCTCTTGTGTGTTGTGTTGACGAATCAGTAAAATAATATACCTAATCTATTGGATTCAACGAACAAGGTATCTAAATTAAATTATTAATGTTGTCACAAAATTAAGATCACATAAATCTGGTAGAACGTAGAAGTACCTATTTAACAAGTAGGTAGACAGACTTAACCCGACGTTAACTATCTGTGAAATCATATGATTATATTTATTCTACTATGTCAATGCGGTAAATTTTTAAGAAAAATAAATTGCGTTTCTACCAGATATGTGTATGATATAATATATCACGTTTTTTATGATAAATAAATACAATGATGTATCAGAAACGTCAAATTTAACGTGCAGGTTATCTGTCAAAAAACGTTATTTTGCATTGTTTAGTATAGGCAAAATAACGTTTTCTACAAATAACCTGCACGTTAAATTTAACGTTTCTGAATTCTGATACATTACAGGGCTGAATCTCGAATATTTTTCCAGCATTATGGTTAAACCAAGGTCTTCAGTGTGGATGTATTTTGAAGAATGTATAGATAGTAATAAAAAAACAACATGTGTTCAATGCAAATTTTGCAAAGAAAAATATTCAAAAAATTCCACTAGGATGAAAATCCATATTGGAAATTGCATGAAAGCCCCCACCAGTATTCGCTCTAAAATGACAGCTTCATCGCGTACGTCTAGTCCTAGTACTAGTACTAGTACTACTAGTTGTAGTCGTCATGAGAGTAATGTTGAAAAAAATACAGTACGCACTTTATCTGCCGTTACACCCGTTAAAAAATCAAATTACATTTCTAACAAACAAAGATCCATGGTAGAAAGTTTTGTAGACGTAATGAAAGTAGAAGAACATCAACAACTGACAGCCTTATTTGCAAAGGCAGTGTTTACTAGTAATACACCACTATCAATTACAGAAAACAGAAACTGGAAACTATTCTTTAAAAGACTGAGACCCTCCTTTACGTTACCTGGGCGATATCTGTTATCACATCGTCTACTTGACGAAGAATTTGAGAGAGTACAAATTCATGTGGAGGAAACTTTGAACATTTCAGAAAATTTGGCCCTTCAGTGTGATGGGTGGTCAAATTTAAGAAACGAAAGTGTCATTAACGTTATCATCACAACCCCGCGCCCTTTATTTGTCAAGTCTGTTTTAAGTGGCACTGCAAGTCATACTGCTACCTATTTAGAAGGTATCATGTTAGAGATAATCGAGAAATATGGGCCACATAAATTTAGCGCAATAGTTACCGACAATGCCGCTAATATGCGTAAAGCAGCACGTAACATACAAGAGAAATATCCCCATATTGTGTCATATGGTTGTATGGCACACACTCTTCATTTGATGTGCTCAGATATATTGCGAGTAGAATCTGTTGAGCAGATCATTGTGTCTGTTAAGAATATTGTTAAGACCATAATGTCCAGTCAGATATTGCGAGCAAAACTAGAAGAAATAAAAAAGGACATGAAACTTACAACTTCGTTAAGTATGCCTGTCAAAACAAGGTGGGGTTCACATGTTAAATCAATGGAAGATCTCGTTAAGTGCAAATTTGCCTTGCAAAGACTTAGTATAACAGAAGACACACAAAAAGTTGTTCATACTATAAAACCCGTTATCCTAAGTGAGGATTTTTGGGTCAGTGTGGAGGGTGTAATAAACCTTTTAAAGCCCATAACACAAAGTATAACACTTCTGGAAGGTGATAGTCCTTCTATTCATTTAGTGTGCAAATCCTTCAATGCAATAAATTTAGAATTTGATTCTAATTTACAACTGCTAAAATTACAAGAAACGGAGAGGAATAACATATTACAAAAATTTTCAGAAAGGCAGCAGTATGCAATGCAACCTGTCCACATGGCTGCTGATCTGTTAAATCCTCACTCTGTTGGCTCATACTTGTCAAGTGAACAAAAAATGCGTGCTATGAAGTTTATTAATGGTTTGGCAAAAGACATGATGTTGCCAACTGCAATAGCAGAATTAGGTCACTACATGGGCAAACTCCATTTCTTTGCAGAGAATTTTTTGTGGGAAGTACTACCTACGGTTGATGCAATAACTTGGTGGAAAGGTTATTGTGGAGATCTCTCACTTTCAAAATTAGCTGTACGGATTCTCACAATGCCATGTACATCAGCTGCCACCGAAAGAAGCTTTAGCACTCAAAGTTTAATTCACACAAACAGAAGAAATAGGTTAACAAGCAAAAGAGCTATAAAACTAAATTATATTCAGCACAACAGTAAATTGTTTAGTTCTCAAGAACCTACGACGGTTCAGGATGACAGAAACTTCCAGCATCAGCAATCAAATATTAATAACCCTGAAGCACCACCTACTAGCAGTTCCAAAGAAAAGTACTCACGAAAATCATTCTCAACCAATCAAGTTTGTTCAGAGAGTTCTGATTCTGACTCTGTAAGTTACATAGGTACAGGGTACAGTACAGCACCTGTATGTCCTATTACAATTTATTTTCTGTATAGAATATTTCGTGGACGTCGGATATAGAAGGAAATGGAAACTCTGACGATGACTTTAGTTACAATGATACCCCGTCTGATGCAGAAGAGGAGCATATTGATGAAACTCCCCAAACCAAAGGACAGAAACGCAAACGCGATACTACTTGTCTACTTAGTGCAAGTCATATTGCTGGTTCCGACAGTAAAGATGATTCATTAGAAGTACTGGTAATATAAGTGAACAAGTACCTTTTCCGATATATTATATTATTTTACTTTCAGAACTGCAGTATACATAATGCAGATGAGTCCGTATATGATCCTGATCCCCAAGAATCCCTACTCGAATCTGATCTTCAGTCAATAAGCTGTAAGTCGTTTTACAAAGAAACAATACCGATAACACGCAGAAAGTAGCGTAAAGTACAAGTACAAGTGATTCAACCATTTTAGTTAATTAAAGAAGACTGTGAATTTCTTTTTTATTAGTTTGATAAGTAGTTCATTTGTTTCGTGCTATAGCATAAGTTTATGTCTATTATACAATGTTACTTTGGGTTAGGAGTTTAAGTTTTTAGTTTTTCTTATGTTGATTTACAATATACCTACTTCTAAACGTATTACCCATGAGTCTTTTCCAGCAAAGTATCAAACATCCACACTACACAATAAAATATCTTCCAAAACTCGTATATTTCATAAATTTCATAAATTACAGACAAAACTGTAAGTTACGTCATAAATTACGTGGTAAGTTACAAAAAGATAAATTTCATGAAATTAAACATCACTAGATGAGGCATCTGTCAAAAATCGCCCTATTCGTATCAATCTTTTGATTGGAAGTGGGAATGGTCGCTTGCTGCATCCCCATTAATCACATGTTTTTTTCACAGGGCCTTTTTCGCATCGACCGCCTATTAAATCCGAATAAAGAATTCACTTGTTTCATAATACATGGACCGCATTTTTCACACCCATTGCTTTGGCATGGACTACCTGTTTCGCATCGGCCGCCTTTTACATTGGAATAGAGAGAGGTCAATTGTTTCAGCTTCCATGGACCGTAATGTTTAACATTTGCACGCGTCCCCACCCCTTAAATCGTATTGGGAAAGGAACTTGTCCCTTACAACTTTTGCATAAGTAATATACATATACTGAGTGTTCTATTTAAAAACTTTTGGGATATTTAAGACCAAACTGGAAGTTAAAAAAATTTATCAAGGGTCAAAACATAGTATATGGAATTCAACAAATTGCTATTATGAAATGCGCGAAGCACCTCCACATTGTTCGTACAATATCTTCCGTTCTACAACATTGTCTTTGACATATACCTGCCACACTTCTAATAGGTAATGGCGGCGACTTCTTTTAAAAGGTACGGTGGTGTGGTTAGAAGAGTACCAGCGTGGCGGAGGATACATGAGGTTTCTATTTTGAATACTAAATACTAGTAAAAAGCAGGCTGCATCATAAACTCTGAATCAGTTTCATGTATGTAGCTACAAACGCTCTGACTGTACATAACCTTTGAATAATTTTATATTCATACCTTTCTCGTTGCATCTGAATCCCATACCTCATTTAAAACAGGAACGGAAAAACATTCTGGTAGGTAGCTGTAAGGTACCGGAAGACCTAAAGAAAGACTTATTTTCTTCGGCTTCGACGATGAATTTTAAATATGTGCGTTAATAAACCCACACGGTAATTGGCCCACCCTGTATACTTCACTCTGGAATTTAGTAGATGTCTTTCGACACAAATTAGCTCTTCACTAATGTGAAAATAACTATTATTTTTGTATTTGACATGACGCCTACGATGCGATGAATTTACGAAAGAGGCGTTTTTAACGTGGCTAATTCGTTTTTAATTTACAGCATTTTCATTGTCAATTGGTTGCACATACTGTTGCCCATACACAATACAGCCGAATTTACTAGGTATGTTTATGATACATTTTAGTGCATTATCCCAAAAACAATCAAACAATTTTGGTATAAAGTTCTTTCAGTAATGTGTTTTGAACGACAAAATACCTCCTTTCGACCGTTCGTCCCTCCATGTCTTCGGCTGCGTTTTACTGAAGACTACATTTTTGTTACTGGAATCTAATTATCACATAATTATAAAATGGATTGCAAAATTTGTAGTGGTAGTGGGTCTAAATTAATAGGAATTTTGCACACAGATTACTCAGTGTAGGGACAGGAATATATGCACCCTAACGCATGAATGTGGAAAGGTGAATGATTTTTTTCAATGTTCTTATATGCGGGTCCGTGAAGTTGGAGTGTCGACTTGAAAGGAATTAAGTTCCAAGTATCTCATAATTTTGTACTCATTTTGTGCTAATTTGTGCTGCCAATTTAAAATTTTGTGCTAATCAGGTTAATGAGTAATTCAACTTTCTCTGATGACACTCCAACTTCACGCTTGAGTGTCAACATCGATATTTTCAAAATTTTCTTTTACTATAATTTTGTGCTCATTTTGTGCTAATTTGTGCTGCTAATTTAAAATTTTGTGCTCATCACGTTAATGAGTAATTCAAATTTTTCTGAAGATTGTAGTGTCAGTTAGTTGGATATTGCCATCGCCGTTTTTTTGGAAAAAATTTCATCAAATGTCGACATTTTAGATCATTTTAAGCAACTTCTAAATAATAAAATTTTTCTGCCTGTGGGTACGTACCGTACGTACTATGTACAGTGTGGTCCAATTTCGATGGGATTAAGTGGGTAATTTTCTTATTAGCGCAGATAAACGAAAACGGTTTTAGTACTCGTGTCCTTATTTTTTATGCTTATTCCATTACCTTTGCCGGAAATAAGCTGCCGTCTTTGTTTTTTTCACTAGAGAGAAAAAGTGAAAAATGTTGAAGCTAGAACGAAATGGCTTTAGCATTATTCAAGCAGTTTTTAATGTAGATAACCAATGTCGTCAGTCGTTTCTTTCTAGACCTTTTAATAACCAACTTTTTATTTATTTATTATTGTCTTTATTTTATAGTGGGCGGAGTGTTCGCTAATTAGCTACTCTTTCCACAAAAAAACTTTTGTTATTATCTTTCAGGCAAGATGTATTAATAAGCAAAATTTATTGTAAAAAGCTTATTCTTGAAAATAAGTATGATGTATTATACATTTTAGGAAAGCTCGTAAAGCAATAAATTTTTTTAAACCATGGTAAATTGTAACTTCAATTAAAAAAATCAACTTTGAGTTACAACGCAGTTACTAAAAGAATTAGAAACAAACAAATCGTACAAAAGAAATAGGGCTGAATTTGTGTTTATGAACTTATAACATTAATCCGAATTATAATGGAATTTTGTGATAAAATGGTTACCCAATTTTCGTGTATAATTAGTCGTAATGACAATTATCAGGCTGAAGAACGGAATGAAGCCCAATACTAACTTCCTTATTTTTAATTATAGATGCTTCTAATAACGAAAAACATAGGTCACATAACAATGGACTATGGAAGTCCCGAATAATGCATGAAAAATGCTCGTACTTTACTCGCCTTAGGCACAAATCTCTTTACTTTTAACTTGTATGTCCACAGTAAGGTGCCTTTTGCGGCTTCGCTCTCTTTTTTTTATTACTCTCCCTTGAGCTACATCCAGGGGTGTATTTCCCACAAGGCGGACTAGTTGCGCGCCTAGAACGGCAAATTCTAGGGGCGGTAAATTTTGGAGGAAACATTTTGAGTATTCACCAGTTTTGGTTTTGTTTAGCAAGAAGCATGAAGCGTAGAGACCACAAATTTAAATATCTTATTGTTCGTTGATGAGCGGTAAATACGGCAACCAGGAATAAAACAAGGAAAGGAGTATGTAGCGTTCTTTTCTTACCAATTGATATTCCAAATTTATATTCCTTATATACTTCGAATTTTACTCGTTGATTGTTGAGTGAGAAATAGCAAAGAGGCGCAACTATATGTAAAATTGCGATACATATTCCCGAAGCTTCCCGTGCCCACAGTCCACAGTGAGAGGGGTGTGAGTGTGTTAGACGTGCGACTCTGATGCTTAAAGGCCGCCCAACAACACAAACCGATTGAAAACCAATGAAACAGCGTTGGACTATAATTCCGGAGGTCGGGTGTTCGAACCTGGATTGAGGTGAATTTTTCATCTGTGGCAGATACCTTAGACCAGTTGCGAGCATTCTGCCCGCTACTCTGAATGACGTTTTTCTGCAGTTTTCCTAATTCGTAAGGTAAATACCGGAGTAGTATAAAACAACTTCATACCTTCTCTGCAGAGGCACCTCTAAAAAGCACTATGCGGGTCACTCTGTAATTGGGCGTAAGCCTGTTGAGGGCCCAGAACAAGAGAGGAATAGTAAATAAATAAATAAACGCTGCTACATCTGCGGAAATCGATTATTCTTTACCAAATTGACGATGTACTGAAGCATCTTGCAATAAGCCTCATCTAAATTAATCGAGTTGCACCTCTCTTTATATTTCTCACCCCATCTAGGTATTCCCTCTGTAAACCCGTTTAGTTTAGATGCCAGTCATTTCTATAGTATATTTGTTATTACCCATAGTTCTTTGGTTCGCCACTAGAGGTCGTGATCTTCTTTTTTTTCTACATACGCATGTCCTATACTTCTTCCTTTCAGAGACGATCTGGATCTGGGTTAATTGCGTGCAAATTTTTCTCGATACGCCATTACTTTTTACTTGACTTTGTGTCAATCTGTTTTGGCTGTGAACATATTTCTATTGAGTGTTTTTCTCTATTTCTGATGTGCTGTGGCTGTGCTCCATTGAATACGCTTTGCAAGTAATTAGTGTGAGGTATGTACTTCAGCATTTTTCTTAATAGGTACGTTTTTTAGGGTTTTATCTTCCCTCAAGGTTCGCTCAAACTTCTCTCTTAACTTTTTATCATTTTCTCTTCTGGATTACTTTTACGTTATTCTCTACCCTACGCAGAACGTGGATGACATCGCAATTTTACCCATAGAACAACAATTTACCTGGACCCGCCATCTTAGCGAAATTGACATTGGCAACGTCACGTGAGACGACATTACATAACCTTCTTCGAAAATTTACACCTGGAGATGTACCTAATTGTTCATTACTAACTGCAAGTATTTGCGAACCCTTTTGGAGAATATTAGCTTTCTATCTTTACACCATCATATTCATTTTCTATGAATATCTTTACAATTCTTTCGGTGTCTAGAATATTATGGGTTTCCAACTTAGACAATACAGTACATGGACTGCTAATTAGCAGTACAAATTAGCACAAAATGAGCACAAAATTATAGTAAAAATTTTTGAAAATATCGATGTTGACACTCAAGCGTGAAGTTGGAGTGTCGTCATAGAAAGTTGAATTACTCATTAACCTGATGAGCACAAAATTTTAAATTAGAAGCACAAATTAGCACAACTTGAGCACAAAATTATAGTACAAGAAAATTTTGAAAATATCAATGTTGACACTCCAGCGTGAAGTTGGAGTGTCATCAGAAAAAGTTGAATTACTCATTAAGCTGATGAGCACACAATTTTAAATTAGCAGCACAAATTAGCACAAAATGAGCACAAAATTATAGTAAAAGAAAATTTTGAAAATGTCAATGTTGACACTCCAGCGTGAAGTTGGAGTGTCATCAGAAAAAGTTGAATTACTCATTAAGCTGATGAGCACAAAATTTTAAATTAGCAGCACAAATTAGCACAAAATAAGCACAAAATTATAGTAAAAGAAAATTTTGAAAATATCAATGTT